CAATTCTTTAGCTAAATTTGGTTTTAATTTTTAAGTAAAAAATATATGAAAATCTTGCATCTTAATTTTCTCATCTTATTTCATTATTGTTTTATAATAAGATATTACTCGATTAGAAATTAAATTTGATACATTTAACTATTTTAAATGTCCATGTAAATCAAATAATTCTTTTTTCTTTTTCATATTCTCTTAATTTAATAAACACTAACTAATTATTGATTATAATAAGTAAATCTTAACTATAAATGATATTATTTCAAAGAAAATATTTAACAATTAATATAGATCTTCTTCTCTAAATCTTTTTACTGAATTACTCAAAAAAATATCCAAACTCATACCAAATCTAGATATATAATCAATATCCTCCCAATAAAACATTTATTAAGTAAAAAAGTGACAAATAAACAATACTAAAAATATTAATTCTGTTAATTTGACAATACAATAATTTTTACTTATAAATTTCAAATGCAATTTAAATAAGGATATAGAATATAAGATTAGATTCTTTATTATTTCTACTTCCACTCTATCAGGAATCTCTAAGATTGTTGATAATGTAATTGCTACTCTTATAAAGTCTAAAATGAAACTAGTTTATAAATAATGTTTAATTATTTCATATCTTCCTCGTATCAATCGACCTTCATAATAAAAAGATTAAATAAACTTAATCCCCATTTCTAAACTAAATACACAAAAATTCAACTTCATAATTTCATTCTTATTTGTTTCAAAATGGAAAGGTAGTAATAAAATTAATAAAAAATTAATTAGATATAACAATACCTCCCAAATAAATTTGATTTTTAGTTTTAATATTATAACTATTGAATTTTATTATCCTGCATAATTCCCTTTATAAGCAGATCGTAATAAATAATCTATATAAGGTGATTTTGGAAATATAGTGCTTAAGTTAGCATTTTTCCTTAAATTTTTTGTAAATCTGTTAACCAATTATTGTATTTTAATCAATGAAAAAAAGGATTGTTTAGTTCTACGTTGCTCCTATAAAAGAATACAAATATATAAACATTTCTTTTTAAATGACCTCTTGAAATGTGAAGTGCTGATCCTAATTTAAATTACTTTTCAAATTCATTTTCAGATTCTCTAAGGGAAGAAATGTCTTGTGGTTATTCAGGATGAACAATTTCAACATTAGACATTAAAAAATTTCGAGCTGTGTTACAAAATGGTGATCCAATTTCAATCATAAAATTAATTACAAATACTTGTAAATATAATAGTTTTTGTGAATTAATATTTAAAAGATCATTGAAATATTATCCTTAATAAATAAGCAATGATATAAAATTCCATTTTCAAATTTTCCTCATCTACTTATTAAACCATATCATAAATATATTTTAAAATTATTACACTATTAAATTTAATGATTCTTATCTTTAGTTTATCTTAGGTCAGAGGATGTTCTATTAAATTTACTTTTTTTTAATCGATAAACAAGAAAGTTATAAAACTTATTATATTCAACTAAACTTATAATTCTTTAATAAACTAATTGATGAAATCAAAAATAAGTAATATATGTAAATAATGATTTCATTTTTTAAATTATAAGTTATCCAATAAACTCTAAATTGATCAAAAATAAGAAATATTTCACTTAATTTCTAAAATTTAGTAGATTTTTTTGTTACTCTGCTTTGTTTATTTTTGATATTGAATCTTATTATTAATCATTTTCTATGAATAGCATCTTAAAATAGACCATCATATATATTGACACTGTTAAAACTTAGGTTTTCTTATAATCTAATTTCAATTTTCTTATATAATATATTCATCTAACTTAATTGTTATATAAATACTTTATTTAAGAATATTTTAATTATAAATATAATTTTGTTAAAGATTCTTGATATATTAATTCACAATCTGCTTTCATTCATTTAATTTTTGAAAAAATTTTAATCATAAAAAAAATTAGCTATTTCTAATAGCTGATAATGAATTAATTATTCAAACATAAGAATATATTCCTATTCTACTAATGGGCAATTTCTTTTAGTTTAATTGAGGAAGGAAATAAGAAATTTTATTAATTAATTTAATAAATAAATAATAAATAATCATTAAATTTTTATAGATGAGTGGATATACTTATTCTAGAATATAAAATATGACATGAATATATCTGATATATTTTATATCTAGATCATTTATAAAATATAAAAATTATCATAGAAATACCATTTAAACTATTTATATTGATATATTTTCTTAAAAAATATTAATTAATAATTAATATTAATATTAATAAAAAAAAAATGTTTCTGGGTAATTATAAATAAATAAATCAATTGTTTTTATTTACAGTTTATAATGAAAGTCCATTTAAGTATGCTTGATTTCTAGGAGATTCATTTGTTCTAGTTAAAGATAATAATTTTGTAAAATTAATTGGTTTATCCTTATATTTCATTGAACTAGAAGTCTTAGTTGTAGTTTAAGTACTAATAAATTTAGAATAAAAGGTTTACTGATTAAACTTGTTATTTTTTTCAGATTCTTTCTAATTTTTATTTAAGTCTGTATTTAATTAATAAATTAAGTTATCGTAAATTTCTCTAGCAGAATTTGCTTTTTCTATTTTACTTTCTTAATTTTATGGTGATTCGTATAATATTTTTCTATAATTAATTCAACAAATAATTTACTCTAATTTTTATGCAATTTATATGATTTTAGTAGTTTATAATTCCAAGTTTTTTGCTGTTTAATTTTAAATACCCATAGAAACTGCTTATTCAAAAAATTAATTTTTTTCTTATTATAATCTAAAAATATGATCTTTATATTCTTGTTTTAAGCAAGTAAGCTCTTTTTCATTTTCTTTTGCTAAAACTAAAAGCATAGATGAGTATGATTATTCAATATTATTATTTTTTTCATTTTTAAAATTAAATAAGGTTTCTTAGAGTATTAAAATATCTTATTTAAGCTGATTATTTTCATTTTGCAAGAATTAAATTTGATTGTTAATATTTTATTACTCTATAAGTTTCTTATTTAATAAATTATTTTGATGAGAGAGTACTTCAACTTAAAGTAAAAGTTTATTATTAGAAATGTGTAATTGATGGTTTAAGAGTTCTAAATTATCTTGAATATTCATTGATTAAGATATTATTAAATATAAATTTAGATCATAGAGATCTGAATGAAGAAATTAATGAAAATTTCAGAATAAAAATTATTCATTTTTTTGATTAATCCATTGATCCCAACAATTTGAAGTTACACAAGATACTAGTTATTTGATTTTTGTAGAATCTACTCCTTAAATAAATAAACAATTTCCAAATATGGTTCCAACTGAATTTTTAGAGAAATCAGAATCTAAACATTTCACAATAATACTATCCGTTTTAACCTAATATATATATATATTGAATTTACTCTAAGACTATCTAATAATTCAGCTTTACAATAATCACAATCAATTGTAAGAATGGATGAAATAAATAAGAGTAAAATAATCTATTTTAACATATATTATCTATAAATATATTAAATAATCATTTTTTTTGATTTTATTAATCCATAGATAGAAAAAGAATTTTGTGATTGTGATTTTTAGCAATCTATTAAACAGTTTCAAAATATCTAATCTACATAGCAGCTCTTGAATCTAACATATCTGCAGCTTCTCTCATTAATTTAGCAGCAGCTACATCACTCTATAAAATATGATCTAATAAAATACTTAAGCTGAAATGATTTTAGATTAAGCAAGTCTTTATGCTTTTGGAGCATTAGATAATGAGTTTTATAATTCTTCACTCATAAGCATATCCTTAATAAAAATATGCTCCAAATAAATACCTTAATAATAATAGTAAATAAATATACCCCATTCAGAAACAACATCAAAAACAAATGCTTCAATTTCATCAGCAATTTTCTATCTATTTTCAATAATCTCTTATAATGTGTGTTCTCCACAGATTGTACGTAAAGTCTAATAGAATAGAGATATATTATTATTTACAGCATAAGTTATTTCTTTGACAGCTTCAACAATCATTTTAACTCTATAAGCAGACTTCATAACATCAATAACTCTATAATAAACAATTGTATCAATATTGACAGTTATATTGTCTTTGGTTAAGACAAGCTATCTTTCTAAATCAATGATACTGAATTATAATTTTAATATGATACAATGTTTTAGTGCTAACAGGGATTACTCTTTCAGTGAATCTAAAAATAATCAATAAAAACAATACGGATTTATTTCATGTAGACCAGGTCCTAAGGTTTTTTAGTATTTACCAAATTTTTGTAGTAAACCTTTTTAACCTTAAGTAATAAGATAATATGGATAGGGACAACAACAAAAACAACATGGAATCCATGCTCTTAGTGTTCCAAAACATGAACCTAAACAATTTCGAGTACTTTCGTAACATGTCATTTTCTAATTTTCATTTTCTTCTCTATTAATATATAAATATGATAAATACATAATATCTTCAAATTTTGATCTTTCTTTTCTGGATTCTCTTTTTTTAATAATGTCCATTTCTTTTTCATAGGAAATAGATTCTGTTCTCATTTCTCAAAAAATATAGAAAAATATAAAAAGAATAATATAGAATATACTCAATAATATTAATCTTGATTTTTAGTAGAGACTTTGTGTATTTCAAAATTCTAGATTTGAGTTTAGATTATTTGATTTCTTAAAGCGATAGTTCTATTGATTAATTACTTTTATTTTGAGAATTATAAGACTATAATAAATAAGAATTAAATTACACTAATAGTTCTAGAGATTTAATTACTTTATTTATCTGTTGAATAACTGTATAATTAATTATTTTAATTTTAATAACTTTAATATTCATCATATTCTAAACAACTACATTTAATTACAAAATTACATTGAATGAATTTAATTATAAAATTAATCTAATTATTTATTAATGAAATAATCATAATAAGCTTAATCAAAGTTCTCAATAAATAGTTTCTAATTTTTTATTAACATTTTTTATCTCTAAAAATAATTCAATTTTTACATTTTAATTCTTCATTAATTTCATGTAATATCCCATTATTAAATTAAATTTTCTCTATTGCCTTCTTTATTTAATCAAAACATTATTCATTTAATTTTGAACACTCTTGTTTATATAAGGTTCCATTCTTTTAACTTTCTTTTACTACCATATAATATTCCCTGACTTTCTAATCGTTAAAGTAATGTAACTTAGGAAACTCTATTCCATTCTCTTTCAATCTTAAATATCTAAACCATAGATCTCTCCATACATTTGACTGATCACTGAATTATATGGATGCCATAAATTCCAAACATATATGCTTTCCAATGATCATCTCATTAGAGTATTCCCCAAAACCTTCAATTAATTTTCTACATTAAACTACCTGGATTGTCACAGAAATAATACATTCCTCTCTCTCTCTTTTTTGAATCCCTTTTTATGATCTCTTCAATCAAATATATTAAATTCTTTGTTACTCCATCCAATACACACTCATTATGTAGATCCATTAGTTCTTTTATTAACTGATCAGTTAAATCATAGGAATACACTTACTCTCATTCCTAAAACCATCTCTATAGGTTCTGATTATTTATTATACAGTATTTATTCATTTGTCTCCAACTCATATCTTAAGGTAATACTAAAATAATTAATAATAAATTTACTCATTTTCTATATTCTCCTTATATTCTTTTGTTTCCCTATAAGCTTATTTTGATTATAAACAATCTTTTAAATTTTTCATTATTAATATATATTTATAAAACTGAATCACTTTTTCATTTTCTCATCTTCCCATTTCTTTGTAATCTCCAATAATTCCTTTGTTTTAGCATCTTTTGGTAGATAAGGTAACTTAAGTTGAGAATCTGTCATGGCTTTCTTTTCTGGTTTAGTCTTTCCATGTGTACCTGGCTCTGACCATTTACTACTTTTCTTTACTTATGGACTCTCAGGTAATCCTTATTTCTTTTTTAATGATTATAAATCTAATAAAAAATAATTTTGAATATTTACCAACTGATTAATATTTTGGTTTTGTCTCCTCTATAATATCATTTCCTTCAATCGATCTCAATTTACCAGCAAATAGATCCTTATTCTATGGAATATCCAAATATGCTAAACAAGCAGCTAACGTAAAACTTGTAGTTTTATTCATATTGTCTTCTAACATTTCAATATATTTATGTTTTATTTTTGGTTTTTTACTTTGTTTTTCCTTGTAAATAATTAATTATTTTAAATTATCATCTAATTTCTTTCCACTTTAAATTGCATTAAAGTATTCTTAACCCATAATAGCTATTTTTAATAACATATATTCAAACTCAAAATAAGTTAGACCTATTTCATCTTAATATTTTAAATTCTTTTAAACAGCTTCTCTATGTGCTACATAATTCTTTTATTTTAAAGTATTTGTAAAAACTTTTATTAATTATTCTTCATTAAAAACCTATAATAAATTGAAAGCATTTGCAAAATCTAACCATCCTTACAACACAATCTTTTTACCACTATAATTCCAAGCATCAGAATACTTAAGATAATGATTAAATGCCTTAATATATTAATATATTTAATACCACACTCCCAGATGATCTAAAATGTTTGAATTCAGCTTAAACTTTTGGATCTTTATAAAAATTCTAAAATTTTTCATTTAATTATTCTTTCTTTTCTAAAGATGTTTTATAATGAGCAGCCATTTCTGTAGTTCTTGCTTTAAATCTAAGTTCAGCTTTATCTTCTTTTGTAATTTTCTTTTCTGGTTGTTAAGGTTATTATTTTTATTTATTATCTTATTATTTTTATTTATTTTCTTATTATTTTTCTTTATTTTCTTATTTTCTTGAAGAATCCTTTCTCTCTTCTTATTAAGGTATTGAATTTTTAATAATCACTTCAGATTAATTTTTCCTTAATTCTTTTTTTAAATTATTCATATAATTAATATGTTTAGGTTTCTACTCTCTCAATTATTCTCCAATAACTTAAGATTCATTAAATCTTTTTTCTTCCTTCTTTTCTTTAAATTATTATATTTTATCTTATTATTTATCAAGATAATCCTTTCTTTTTTGCCATTTAATATCCTTCAATTCTTTCTTTAATGCTTCTTCTTATTTTGATACTATTTTTTCAACTATACTCTTATTAATTATTTTCTCTTCAGACAATTATGACAAATCTAATGATCTATTCATTATCTCTTATTTTTCAATAGGTAATAAAGTGAGAGAATTCTTTAATTGTTCTTATTTCTCAACTAAATGGTCTACTTTAATATCTGAATGAACTCCTTTGGCTGCAATAGGTTTGACTTCATAAATTAGATTGACCTTGAATGTTGGTTCTACAATATTGGTTCTATTATTAAATTTTCATATAATTTACTTAAATTTAGATTAGATAAGTTCATTAACAATTTCAAAACAAGTTAAATAAGATTTATTTAAATTTTTCATAACATCTCTCATTTAATAATGTAAAGATACTCTTTCAATTTATACCTTCTTTAATCTAGTTTCAGTAGGTACTTCTATATTTGGATTTTATAATAATTAAGCATTCCATTTTTAAATTGTACTTTTATCAGCTACAGTAGTAACACCATCAGGATCATCAAAAATAAGATGATTATCATTCCTTCTTCTAGCAACAAATGAAAAATATTTAAAGAATTCAACTAATACATGTCCTGATGGCATTTTTCTAAAATCTTTAGGAGGTCTACCAAAGATAAGGACTGCAAATTATATAAGAAACTTTTTAAAATTTTCAAAATCTAATTTATAATTGACTGTTCTAGCAGTAGTAGCTGAAATAGATGATTATTTTTCTGTTTAACTATCTTATGGTAATTATCTAATTTGAGAACTCAAACTAAATAAATTAAATTTATGATTAACAGTTGCAATAAGATTAATAATCTCTTCATATGTACTAAAATTGAAAATCTCATAGTCTTATAATATTTTAACAATATCAGATGATCTTAATTCTAATTAGCTTTAATCCAAACTTCTTAATCTATTTTTAGCTGCTTCTTAAGGAGTAGATGCATATTTGTTAAATAAATATCTGAAAGTCTTAGAAAAATGTTTAATGGCAATATTCATGGATTCTCTATCTACATCTTCTTCAAATGGAAAATCAATTAAGACAACATCTTAAGGTTTGTATGCCAATTCTCCTTCTTCATATACACATTAAAATTCATCAAAGTCATAATTTCTTTTCTTTTTTTTAGTTTATTATAAATTTTTTGTTTCATTCTTTTCTTCTAATAATAAAGATTTAACTAAATCTTCCTCTTTTTCAAATAGTTTCTTGTTTTTCTATAGATATTAATCTTCTAAGGATTATGATTAACTACCTTCCATTTGTTACATTTTCTTTTCGAGAAATAATTGAGATGTCATTTATTAATCTTTAGTAACATATTCATCAACAATAGTATTTGGATCACCTAACATTTATAATAATTAAATGATTCCTTTATTGTCTCTATTTTCAATACTTCTAAGTTCTAAATGTGCTCCAACTAACAATGGTTTAAGCATATTGTTCATTTAGAAACATCTCAATTAAATAATGTATTTAAATAATTAAATAGTTTGAGCTCTTCTTTGAGAATTTATAACAGAATCATCTTAATAATTTGTTAGATTATTAGTTGTTTTTTTAGATCTTACAGAATTAACATATAAATTTAAACATGTTTAAGCCATTCTATTCATATATTCTTAAAATTCTGAAAGTTCTATAAATTTTTGTATTATTTATTATATTGTTGGAAATAATGCACTTTAAAATAAAACACTACTATTATAAATCCTAATTAATAATTCTAACATTGTTATTGCTGATTATACTTTTAAATTCTGATGTGCACTCAACACATAATAAATATCACAATCAGACATATTTGGATGTTGATTCTTAATCAAACCTTCAATCAATAGTTCTATTGGAATACTAGGATATTTTTGAATAATATAAGTGAATTATCTTACAATATATTCATTGTTTTGACTTTCAATTAGGATTGAAATCAATTTCTTATATACTGATACTGCTGTAACAACTTTCTTTTAAGCTAGACCATCCAACAATTTAAATGCTTATGTTATAGAATATGTTTTCAATATTGTTGAATTATCTTTAGCAGTTCTTTAAAGCATAGCCAAAATGGATTATTAATATTACATATTTTATTCCAAAAATACATTATAATGGATCCATGCATTACATAGAAATTGGATGGATACATTTTTTTCATCTCTTGTACTTTGATTATCACTTAATCTTATTGCTATCTATATTTATTATTCTAAATTGTAATTTATAAGCTAAATCAATAGTATTCTAAAATACATCACAATTTAAATAAGGAATCAAAGCTCCATAAAATTCTATGTAAGATTTTGGATTCTCAAAATATTTCTATTATCCAAATACTTAACTATAATCATAATATGCAATTTAAGATAAAGCAGTTGCAAGTGGTTCAGCCAATTAAGGTTATCTTTAGAGTGTTATAATCAAACTTGCTAATCCAGAACCTAAAAAAAGATTAATTCTAATAAATACTTAATAACCATTAGAACATATGAAATAATAGGTCATATTATGCTAGATCATATGCTAATTTACCAAGTAATCTTAATCCCCAATGTACAACTTCTTAATCTTTAGAGAATATGGAGAGTTTAAGAAATGATACAAAGAATCCAATTTGATGTTCTTCATCTCTCAATAGTTCAATTAATCTAGGCATATTATTGTATATTTCTTAGAGGAGTGTAACTAATTAAATATACTATCCTTTAACTCCTTTAATAAAAACATGTGTGAGTAATTTGAAATTATTATTAAGTAATTATTATGATTATTTGGGTTTTAATATGAGATTCTGACTCAAAGCTACTATTACATATTCTAGTACAGTTTCACAAGAACTAATTGATTTAGCAGAATTGAGTGTTTCAATATCGAATGTTTTCTTTGGATTTTCTATTTTGGAAGTGATTTCTTTAACGAATTTGGATTATATATCCTTTAAGACTTCAACTATCATCTCTAAATCACCATCAATTATTAATTTTTTAATTTCTGTATCCAATTCCACTTTAATTTAATGTAATCGTTCTGTGATTATATTCCAATTATATAATCTAGCTGTAGGATTAGTTTGCATTTTGATTTGTTAATTATAAGGACCTGTTAATTTATCTAAAAGTTCTGAGATCTTGAAACCGTTGTAAAAGGCTGATGTAGTTTCAGGATCTAATTCCATTCTCCCATTTTATTTTGGAATTCCATTCTAGATTACATTTAATGATTTCAACCATTTAAACATATCTTAAGTGATTTGCATTTCTTATATTAGTATATTTTATATTATTAATAATCATATTTATTTTTCATTGCTCAATTAATTCAATTTAGTACTCATAGGTATTAATCTCTCACTTAATTGATTTAATGTGATCTTTATTAAAAATGATAAAAAGGTCAAGGTATCCTAAATGCAAATTTATGATTTATGATGATAGCCTATAAATATTAGCAAACTCACAAAATATTAAAATGTTGCCATTGCATTAAAGATCAAATATAATTTTAAAATACCATAAGATTGACTAGGTATCTAAGATAATATAATTAAATACCCATATTGATTCAAATAGATTAGATAGTATTATAGTAAATGGATAAGGAAATAAAATTAATTACAAACTCATAATATTAGATGATTTATTAGAAATTTTCAATTGATTATATTTCTCTGTAATCAAACTTAAAATGCTTTGTAACAAGAACTATTATTATATAAATATATATAATTACATTATCTAATAAGATTAATATACAGATCATAATGATCAATGTATATTTATCTAAAAAGGTTCTTTTATGAGAAAATGATTGAAATCTAATGTAATCAAAGATTCTTATAATGAGATGATAAGTTTTAGAAAAAGAATTTGGTCTTTGACTTTATTTTTTAGTAATTTATTTAAATTAATGTTTTGTATGACCCATTTATAAATGATCTTTTTCAGTACTTTTAGATAGAAATTATTCTCTTAACAAATCAACATCTATAGAATTATCATCATCATAATCATATTCTATATTTCTAATAGAAAAATCTTCAATATCATTAAAACTAAGTTTTTAATTTTTTAATTATTAATCAACTTCAGCAGGATCTTATTCTGTATTAAAAATAAATACACCAAATTTTACATCTTATAATTTTTGAAAAATAACATTTTTATGAAGTTCTCTCATAAATTCTTTAAATTATGATTCCTATTTCATTTCAATCAATGTAATTGTTGATGATTGATGTTAAGAATCAAATGGAAATTGAGCAACCAGTAATTACAATTTTACATTATGATTACTAAAGAATTAATTATTCCATTTCTCTAATAAATCAAATAATCTTTTAAAATTTGATATGAAATTCTAATCAAGTGCTCCTAAATCTAAAGTCATAGCTACTTTATTGAATTTCTTTAAAAATCTTCTAATTTCTTTTGAGTTTTCTTCTCTTTCATCTTTACAAACTAAATTAGTTAATATATTTTATCTATTTTAAATAGAATTTTTAGTTTAATTTACTGCAAAAAAAAGTGAGACTAAAAATTAATCTGATTCACATAAATAAAAAGGTCTTAAATAATTACCTTCACCAGATAAATATATTATAAAAGGACATGTAAGATAAATGTATTTTAGATCACAATTCTTATAATTAAATATATCAATATATAAAAGAGTGTAATCTGCACTTTTTGTCATTTTAAATCTACCATAAGTTTGATCTGATGATTATTTCCAAAATTTTGGTATTTCATTTTTATTTAATAAAGCAGATAATTATTTATACTTATCCTTTTTTATTTTAGTTTACCAACCCCAATATAATGGATAATATAAAATAGCTAAGAAATTTAAAATTATATATTTAGTTTTACTCCAAGCTGCAATCTCATTGAAATTCTTTGCAAACTTCTCATACTCTTCTTTATTTACTGCCTTGTCAATTTCGACAGGAGGTTCAGAATGTAAAAACCATGGATTAAGAAAAGTATTATTACCTATTACTGGTATTCTATGTGCATGATACATTAGATCTCCTAAGACAAACTAATCTGTTTCTTATAAACTTTCAGTAATTATTTTATCAGCTATTATTTCTTTTGTAGCATTCTCAAAGTTAAAGTTTTTTTCAGTTGTAGAATCTTTCTTCTTATATTGTCTTCTTAATCCATAACCAATAACAATCAGCAACATAAAAACTACTAATTATATTCCTGTATTTCTAAGTATTCTGAAATCTTCAATACAGCACTCCGAAGTATAACAACTAAGTTTTTCATTACAAAATGTATTATTTTAATAAAATTGTCCCTATTGATAATTATTAAAAATGTACATAAGTATATGGACAAGGTACACATTGTGAACTCCACCAAAGAGAATATTATTGTTCCTTAGCATTATTATTACAAGGTACACATGAGAAATTTAATATTCTATAACCAGGTGGACACAATGGTTCTACTAGACTTCCATGTTATCCAAGTAATCCTGAATCAGATTGATAATTTCTTTAACCAGCTCCATTTTTGATATATCCTAGATATGTACTATTTGAACAATAACTGGATAGATTATTAGCTTGATTAATATTCAAAGGAGTTGTTAAACACTTAAATTAAAGAATTCCTCCACCTCCTTCACCCACTAAACCTTAAGGATCACTATCTCCTCCCTGCATAGAAATATTACTAAATTAATCGCTTATAATTTAAGTGGAATATATTTTAATTGAGCCTCCTGCACCACCACCAATACTATAATTAGTCTCATTATCAACATATCCTGGTGATCCATCAGCTAATAACATTGATCTATTCAATTATACTGATAAATTTGCATATATAAATATAGAACCTCCACCAAATCCATATTATAGATTTTTGGATAAGTTTCCAAATTATTTGACTAATTCAATTAAATTGACTGAACTACCACCTGATCCTTAATAGAGATTAGTTAATAAATAACCATATGGATATAAATCAAACATGAATCTAGTTGAATTCGTTAAGAATATACAATCATTTAGATATGAATCCTCAATATTTAATCCAATACCTCCATATCCAGAATTAGAACCACCATTAGCATAACATTTTTAATTATAATTAACAAATTCAGGACCTCTTGCATTTCTAAATATAAATAAATAAATACCCTTAATTTATATAACAACCAGAATATGAAGTATTTAAATTACTGCTTTATAAAATGACAGTACCATTATTAATTATTCCTATTTGACTACCAATAACATTAGTATTAATTAATGTTAAAGAAGAGTTGCTAAATACAAAGAAAGTGTAATTGGACACTTAGAAAAAAGCAGTAAAACGAGTTTACTCTTATAAATAGATAAATTAATTATGTAATATATAATCTTCTACAGATTCAAAATTGACATTGAAAATGCTAATCATTCCTGGTAATATATTCACATTATTAGTACAAGTTGAAGTTGACATCATAAAATATGAGTTTTTAAAAATTACAGAATTATTAAATACAAAAAGCATTTTATTTGAAGTAGCATCTAATGACATAATAGTATAACTTTGACTGCTATTAAGATAAAATGCAAGTAAGTAATTCTTCATATTCATGTATGAATTTTTATAAAATTAAAAATCTGAAGATGCTTCAATTATTATATATTTGTTCTCAATAAATCCTGCTTTCTTCTGATTACTTGTTATATTACCAATATAAATTTGGTATGTATATATTTTGACACCATCACAATTTGTAATAAAATTAGTTAAATTCCAAATTATCGATTAATCGACATTAATCTCAACATACCTAGTAGTTTATGAGCAATTAAGTTCTAATGAAGTAGGTGGTATACAAGTTTAACTGTAATTATAAGTCTATTCATCAACATTAATTAAGGAATCATTGTAACAATCTATATCTAAAGACTTGTAAGATTATAACAATAATATGAATATTAACATATTAAAAATATTATTCAACTTATTTCACCTCCAGGAACAATCAAACATATTTAAGTACCATTTAAAAGAATGGATTCTAATTTATTCTTTTTCCCATTATCCAATTCAATTACATTCTCCAAAACCATATCTAATCAATCATCAAATTCATACTAAAGAAATCATCAAACCCACGTAAAGTCCCTTCGAATTCTCTATCATCTTTCATTAGAATCCATACTCTTGATGAAATTGCCTTATCCAATAATCCTAGTCATCTTAAAAAGAATATTACCTAATGGAAGAATAGTAGTCATTATAAAATATTAAAAATATATTTATGAATATAGAAGAATACAATAATAATGGTGATAAAGAACCTATAATAATATGTCTAAATCATTTCCAAAATAAATATAAAAGGCCAGCATTACAAATGAAAATCAATTATTTTGGACCACCTTACTTGTCAACCAAAACCGAATAAAATTACTTATGAAAATTATTTTTTCATTACTATTTGGGACAAAAAAAACTCTTCTAAGATAAATCCTTAACTTTAGAACATATATCCTTTTCATTTATTGCTGCTCTTGAAAAAACTAAAGTTTATTCCAAAATTAGATTAATTAATTCCACCCCCAAAGAAGTTTCCCAATGGAATTATACTTCATTTTGATAAACAAGATAATTTACCTTATTTTATAAGTGCATCCAATGAAATAGACACCCAAGGCTATTAATGAAAAATGAAGTTTGGAAATAATAATTTCTTTGGAATCCATGCTCAATTAGCATTTGAATTTAATTAAAATCTAAGAACTAATGGATTCCATTAAATGAGCATAGATATAGAATTAAGAAAATAAAAAATTATTACTAATACATCAATCTAATTATCATTTAATTATGGTCTACTTTTTCATATATTCTGTACATTTCAAAACCTGTAATTTAGAAGTTTTAATTAAATCATTGAGATAAGAAAATTGTATAATAGAAAATGTAACACTTTTGCTAAATTTGATTTTAAATACAATATTCACAATCTATTAGGAATAAAGAAAAATAATTTATCATATTTAATATTAGAATTTGGTTATTTCAATGCTAATTGGAGGAATGTAACTTGAAGGATTAATTTCAATATATACAAAAAAAAATTTGGCAAGAATCATATATTTTAAATTAGAATTACCGCAGATAATTGATAAATATTTATAATAGGATTTGATTAAAGTGTTCAACCATAGAAAAATGATATATCTATCTTCATTCATCAATTTAATTTAAATTTAATTTCTCTCTATTTACTATTTATTTTTTTTATTAATATTGTTTTTATTATATAATATAGAATTTATAATCCAAAATAATAGAGAATCGTTATTTTTATTATATTATATATGTTTTTATTATTACTAATCATGGTTTTGTTAGACCAATAGTGGTAGCTCTTCTGAAAGACCTTCTAGAATCAAGTGGAGGTGGCTAATTTCTAAAACTACCCTAATTTCTTTCAGTTCCTGGGGGAATTCTGAAACTATTTCCTGGAGTTACTTAATATGCTTATGTTTCTGGATTAGGTTAATGATGTACCATTTAAGGTATCAATTATTGCAAATTACCATACTTATGTCTCCATGAGTCATTTTCCTATTATAATTTAGATTAATATTACATTTAATAGATCTTATGTATTTTTATTTAATCTTTCAATTTCATCATTCAATTAGTCAATGGTTACTCTTAACATTTCAATTTCAGCTGAATTAGAATTGGCCTTTCTTTTCCATCTTTCGATTTCCAAATCTACTGTACTGAATCTGTTTTCCAATTCTACTTTATCTTCTAAAACTTTCTATAAATCTTATTATAATCTTTAGAATTTGCCCTTCCATTCTTCAATTACTTTATCTCTAGTATTTAATGCTAATTCTAAATGTTCAAAATCTAATTTTTAATTATCCAATAATTTGGATTATAAAACATGATTTTATTTAGTCAATTATTCATTCTCAGCATTTTTAGAATTCAATAATTCATTAATATAATTCAATTGATTTGTTAATTTCTCTTTTTCTGCTTATTAATCTATCCATTATTAATCATCTCTCTTAATATCTTTTACTTAATTTTCACTTTGTCTTAATAATTATTTAATTTCACTTATTTCATTTTCTTTATGTCTAAATGCTTATTCTAATTAATCTAAATCATCTTTTAATTGATTTTCATAATTACTACCATTATTAATAGTTGATTTCAATTCATCAATTTATTTTTACAATTAGATTGATTATATTTTCAATTCTTCATTAGATTTTAATACATTATTTAATTCATCAAATAATCTCTTATTTTCAACAAATATTGGTTAAACTTAATCTATTTGTGATTGATTTTAATGTAAAATAGCTTTATTTCCTTCAATTTCAATATTTTTATTTTTAACCATAATTGATAATCTCTCAATTTCACTAGACATCATAGCACATTTATTTTCTAATCTTTCTTAATCTCTCTTTGCAGCATCATATTAATTTTATGCAATTTATAATTTATCAGTAAGATCTGCAATTCTTTACAATTCTATTAATAAATTCTCATTTAATTTTCTGAAATCAGTTTCAATTGCTAATAATCTTTTTATTTCTATATCTCTTTAATCAACATCTTTATTAAGTAGTTGATTTGCAATAGATAATTCTTTATTTTAGATATTAAATTTATTATTCTAACTAATTAAATCATTAATATCATGTTCTTATTATTTTAATAATTAATCTAATTCTTTTTGATTTTTCAATTAGATTTCAACAGCATCAAATTTCTTTCTCCATTCTTAATTAAGTTTTGACTTGCTATCTTCCAATTCTAATGCTTTAGTTTGCCATAAATCTAATTATCTTTATCTTTCATCTAATATTAATTAAAGACTTTCAATTTTTGATTAGAGAGGACCTAAACTTTAAAGTTTGACTTATTATAAAGTGCATTTAGCAGTTAATTCATCTCTTATTTCATTAGAATTTTATAATGATTTCTTTAAATCATCAATCTATTTAGCTTATTAATTCACCTTCTCTTACAATTCAGGAAACATCTCTAATTTAAATTTATAATCATTGTTCAACTATTATAAAGAATTAAGTTTGATTAATAATTCATTTACTTATTCATTTTAATTATTTGTTCTCTCTCTCAATTTCTAGATTTCATTCTTTTATTCTAATCCTAATTGATTTGAAGAATGGATAGCATTTTCTAAATCTCTTTATTTAAATTCAATTTAATCACTTTAAATTTTGATTTTATCATTTTCTTTTTATTTATTTAAGTATGCAATTTTTAATTATTAATAATCTATTTCAATGGCCTATAATAATTATAATTCGATTAGTATGTCTTGTTTCTTTCTATCAGCATTAGATAAATCCTTAATCAATTAAGTATTAATATCAATTTATTTAGTTAATTCTTACCTAAGAACATTATTAGTTTATTGTAATTCATCAATTTAATCTTCTAATGTATCATCAATTTTTTATTCTAATTCTACATTTTATTGTCTTAATTTTTCAATCGCATCAGTTTTCTAAGCAACACGAATAACTGGAATTTCTGTCAATTTCAATTATCTTGTTAAATCCAATATTTAAGCTTTTAAGAGTGGAATCTATTTATATTGATTTTATATTTCTAAATAATAAGCATCTGCTCTCTATTTGAATTAATCTCTTTCTTTAATTAATACATCCAACTGATTTAGTTGTAAATGCAAATTAAATACTTCAGCTCTACTCTTATCCAACTCTACAGTCAATTATTTCAACTTCTCATTGAGACTTTATATAATAATTTCTTGAGAGTCATATCTTTACATTAATACAGAATATTTTTCATTGATATTCATTAATTTAACATTTTCTTATTCTGATTTTAAGTATTTTTATTTCCATGACTCACTTTCACCCTTTTTCAGTTGATATTTAGAATTAATTTCATCTATCTAACTTTAATAGGTTTATTATTCTAGTATTTTGTTTCTATATACAGATTCTAATTATAATTCAACAGCAACTAAATTATTCTTTAACTTTGTAATTTATGATTCATCTTAAATAATTTATTTAGTTAACCTTTGAGGAATTGGAAGTGGATCTACTTTAATATCAGGTATTTCAAAGTCATTTTTGAAATTTTTATTTTATTCATTAAGAATTTATTATCTTTATTAATTCACTTCTAATAATCTTTATAATCTAGTTATTTCAGAACATCCTTAATTATATTTTTATCTCCATTATTCAGATTCAGTTAATGTTTATGTTATTTCTTGTCTTAATGAAGAATTAGTATTTTAGAGTGCTTTTATTCGTTATTCTAATTTCTTTAATTAATTAATAACAACTTCAGCATCCATCAAATTGGCTTTAAGTTACTTAATTTATTAATCTAAATTTTCATTATCAGATTTTAATTCTTCAATTAAATTCTTTGCCTGTCTTAATTCTGGCTATAATTATTTTAATTAATTATTTGAATTTTCAACATCTCCAATTCTTCTCTTTAAAGAGATTATTTCTCTTTGTTTAGTTTGAATTTGATCTTCAGCAAATGTTAAATTGAACTTTATTTTATCTAGATTCTAAAGTTCAAGTGTTTTTTAATTTAATAAATTCAAAGTAAATTCTTAATCTTACTCCTTTTAATTTAAAGCATTAATTAAATTAGCCTTGTCTATCTTTAATAATTCTATTTCTTCGTTTAATTATATTATTTATCTGACATCTCTTGATAACTATAAAGATATATTAATTAATAATTACATCAGATATTATCTTCTCCTGTGTTTCCAATTTTTATTATAATTAAGCTAATTCAAACTTATATCTTTCGATTTCAAAGTTTGCTCTTTCTAATTCATTAGTTAATCTGACTTTTTCTTCATCAGCATCGGTAGGAGTGACTTTGACTATTTTTTCAACAGTTTTAATGATAGTTGTAGGTTTTGCTTTATATTATTCAGCCTTGCTTTCTAATTCTTTAAGTTTAGCATCAGTTGAATCCAATTATGATTACAATTAAGATATTTATTCATTCTTATTCGATAATGTTTCTTATAATTTAGTAAGTTCATGATTAAGCAATCCTAATCTGTGATCTTTTTCTTGAATATCATTTTTCATCTAGTTTAATAGATCTGATTATTCTTATAACTGTGTCTTGAATTTAGCATAATCTTATGGAGGTTATTAAGTAGTAACTTATGAAATGTTGACTTCACTCTTAAAGACTTCAATCTTAGAAGTTGTAGACACTTCAGTTTACAGATCTGCAAGTCTTTTTCTCTCAGCTTCTAATTTGTTGTTCCTATCTTTATAAACATTCAAATCATTTTAGAGATTGGTTATCTTATTTTTAATATCAAAATTCTCTAATTCAAGTACTTTCTATTATGAATGTTTCAATTCCAATTATCCATACTTTTCTGTTAACTTTTACTTAGAAAATAATTTATTACCTCTTTTAATTCTTTGTCTCTCACCTGTAATTAGTCATAAGTATTATTATAATCTTATTCTATATCTCTCAATCTCTCTAGTTGTGACTCATATTCAAGAATCTTAAATTTTGCTAAATCCAACTCTTTTGTTCTCGAACGTAATAAAAGTGTCAGCTATTTGTTTTCATCATTCAATATCTAGTTTCTTTCTTGTAATTAATTAATCTAAAGAATTATTATTGTAATATTTACTGTCTATTCATATGTTACATACAAATCTTATTGTTGTTCTAACTTGAAAACCTACTCACGTTAAGCATCTAATTCGGCTTATAACTCAGTTATTCTTATCTCACAGTATGCAATATCTGCAGTATTTGGAATTTTTGCTTTTCTTACATTTTTATAGATTGTTTCTTAATATAACAAATAACATAATACTGTCTCCGTCCATTTCTTATTAGAAATACACACTAGGTCTTTCATCCCCTTCAGTTTTTTACTGAATGATATTCTCTGTCATTCTTATTATTATTTAATAAAAAATATCTATTTTCTTTGATTTGGATATATATTTTGATTAGAAATAGTATTTAATAATTCAAATAATGAAATTTTATTTTTCACTATCAATTCTTCTTGTGTACTTCCAATAGGATATTCAATTTATCTCTCCATAAGATTTAAATCTTCTTAGAAACATTAATATAGATTAAGTTTGTATAACATATAAAATACAACACAAACTGATTATTAGAGATATCAATTATCCTTTATTATTTATTCTTCTATAACTAAATTCTTTCTATAGATTTTTGTATTTATCAATGCTTTATAAAATTCTATTCTTGAAAAATCTTTTGTATCTGAAAATGTAATTATTTCAGATAAATAACAGAATTGAACAGAATTAAATATTTTCTGAATAATATTGAGTAACAAATTTCTTAAGATCTATATGAAGAATTATAATTTAATACAAAAGCTCAATTTCTATTAATTTAATAAGATGATTAAAAAAAGAAGAACAGATATCACTAAATCTTAAAATTAGAACGGATAATTCCTGAAATTTTTATAATTTATATATAGAGCTAAAAATTTTATTAATAATCAAATTATTTAAAATAATAGTAAAATTTATGAATAAATATTTGGTCCAAACTCACTCCATGAATGAAACTAAAATTGAGACAAAATTAAATCTATTTAATTGCAACATCAGTTCCTTTAAACAATACCTTATCTATAATAAAAGCACACTGTCCACGCATAATCTGCTTGAAACAGATGAGAGGCGAACAAGTAAAAAATTTATTTAGATATATATACTACTATGCGCACAAAAATTCTTTAAGATCTGGAGGCATAATAATAGGAGTTCACAAATAATTCTATTCACAAAAAATAACTTATTATTATTATCCTCAGAATTATCAACCATACGACAATTTAATAATTAATATAGTAAATCAAATTGTAGAGTTGGCTACAATTAATGTATACTTCCACAGTAGACAGGAATTTAAAAATAATTATCAAATCTTTAAAAAAATAATAATTCAAATCATGGAATAAATAGGATACTTAACAACTTTACTAATATGTGGAGATTTCAATTATAATAAATCCCTATTCCATTCCTCAATAATTTAATACCAAACAAAATAACATTCTAAAGAAAAAATTTAAACTACCTTATTCGCTCATAAACTGATCACATTATAACTAATCAATAACTAAAAACAAAAGTTTATTCTTATTAGTATTTATAATCAGATCATTGTTTAATTGAGAAAAAATTGAATTANCAGTTATTCTTATCTCACAGTATGCAATATCTGCAGTATTTGGAATTTTTGCTTTTCTTACATTTTTATAGATTGTTTCTTAATATAACAAATAACATAATACTGTCTCCGTCCATTTCTTATTAGAAATACACACTAGGTCTTTCATCCCCTTCAGTTTTTTACTGAATGATATTCTCTGTCATTCTTATTATTATTTAATAAAAAATATCTATTTTCTTTGATTTGGATATATATTTTGATTAGAAATAGTATTTAATAATTCAAATAATGAAATTTTATTTTTCACTATCAATTCTTCTTGTGTACTTCCAATAGGATATTCAATTTATCTCTCCATAAGATTTAAATCTTCTTAGAAACATTAATATAGATTAAGTTTGTATAACATATAAAATACAACACAAACTGATTATTAGAGATATCAATTATCCTTTATTATTTATTCTTCTATAACTAAATTCTTTCTATAGATTTTTGTATTTATCAATGCTTTATAAAATTCTATTCTTGAAAAATCTTTTGTATCTGAAAATGTAATTATTTCAGATAAATAACAGAATTGAACAGAATTAAATATTTTCTGAATAATATTGAGTAACAAATTTCTTAAGATCTATATGAAGAATTATAATTTAATACAAAAGCTCAATTTCTATTAATTTAATAAGATGATTAAAAAAAGAAGAACAGATATCACTAAATCTTAAAATTAGAACGGATAATTCCTGAAATTTTTATAATTTATATATAGAGCTAAAAATTTTATTAATAATCAAATTATTTAAAATAATAGTAAAATTTATGAATAAATATTTGGTCCAAACTCACTCCATGAATGAAACTAAAATTGAGACAAAATTAAATCTATTTAATTGCAACATCAGTTCCTTTAAACAATACCTTATCTATAATAAAAGCACACTGTCCACGCATAATCTGCTTGAAACAGATGAGAGGCGAACAAGTAAAAAATTTATTTAGATATATATACTACTATGCGCACAAAAATTCTTTAAGATCTGGAGGCATAATAATAGGAGTTCACAAATAATTCTATTCACAAAAAATAACTTATTATTATTATCCTCAGAATTATCAACCATACGACAATTTAATAATTAATATAGTAAATCAAATTGTAGAGTTGGCTACAATTAATGTATACTTCCACAGTAGACAGGAATTTAAAAATAATTATCAAATCTTTAAAAAAATAATAATTCAAATCATGGAATAAATAGGATACTTAACAACTTTACTAATATGTGGAGATTTCAATTATAATAAATCCCTATTCCATTCCTCAATAATTTAATACCAAACAAAATAACATTCTAAAGAAAAAATTTAAACTACCTTATTCGCTCATAAACTGATCACATTATAACTAATCAATAACTAAAAACAAAAGTTTATTCTTATTAGTATTTATAATCAGATCATTGTTTAATTGAGAAAAAATTGAATTAGACAAAAAGCAAATGAGGATTGACTCTGAAATAATATTTATTAATAAGAAAAAGCAATAAAGAGTCTCAAAAATTACAGAATTTACATCAATAATAAAAAAAGAATCAGACTGTAATAAATAAAAGATTAACATCAAAACATCTTATTATAAGAATAATTCAGAAATCTATTTTCAGAAATAGACATTCCTATTTTAAATTATTGAAGAAAACAAGAATAATTAATAAAGAAAAATTAGATGATGGATTATAGAATTGTTTGTTAAATGAAAATCAAGAATTGGTTGTTCACAAGTATTTTCTAATTATTTCGAGCAGTTAAGCAAATATTCCAAATCTATATAATATGGATCCTTAACTATTCCTAAATTCAAACCATAACTTAAAATTAGGTTTAAGAATTACAAACATTGATGGCATTTGATTAAGCTATTTCATATGATTGCATAACTCATCAGATGATAAAGAATTATAATTGGAACCTTCTAAGAGATGCTTGGGGTCCTGAGATCTTTTAAGTTAACAAAAAGTTAGAATGGGTAAGATTAATTTCTTTAAAAAAAGTTCATCCTAAAATACCTACTTCAGAATAATTTAGACCGCTAGTAATTTTAAGCCCCCTCTTTAAATTCATTAAATTAAGATTCTTTAAGCAATTAAAGGATTATATGATACATGGAATAATATAAGAATGAACTGATTTCATAAAGAGGTATGGCACCAAAATTAATTTGTTGTTAATGAAGGATATAATAAAAAATTATATAATAAAAGATTGAAAAATCATAATCTTTATAGATTTTTCTAGTGCATACAATACTTTTGAAAAAGATCGATTATATAATTTAATGCCGATGAATAATAGCTTACCTGAAGAAGAAAAATGGTTTTTTGCAAGCAATACACAGACTGATCACAAATATAAATCCACACAAAATGTAAGAAAAATATCGTTACAAAACAGGATCCCATAAGGGTACCCTATATCTCCTCTCTTATTAATATATACATGGATAATTTTTTGAAAAAAACATCAGAAAAGTTTCAATTTTCAGATGATCTAGCATTTATATTATGCAAAAGTCAAATAAAAGATTTTTATATGTGTAAAATTAGCTATCTCAAGAATGGAAACTCCATATGAACAACAAAAAGCAAATACAAATTGAAATAAATAGAAATGAGCGTTCTCCCTATAATATATAGATATAAATATTTAAGAGTAACAATGGATTATAAAGGAAACTTAAAATAACATATAAAGAATTAAAAATAAAATATCAATTATAAACTCATGAAAATTAGATAAATGACACAAAAGATGGAATTCAAACATAGATTATTAATGTATATTAGATACTTTAGAACCTTATTTTTAATATTGCTACATAGTAGCTTAATTTGAAAAGAAAGCGTAAAAACAGATAATCCAAAGAAAAAGAACTGAAACAAAAAAATATCCTAATATTGCCTAAATAAACATCAGATGGTTTTATGGAAATGTTATTAGAAAAAATGGATTTAGTTAATAAAATATCGATTTAAATAGTTTGCAAAAGAATACTTGTTCAAATTTGGATGGTGTTCTTGTACAATTCATAGTAATTAGAGAATTACTTTCAAGCAAATATTATATGATCATTTAGATTTAACCTACTAAATATTCTTAGAATAATTAATATCAAATGGATTAAATGATTATATCAAGGACAGGATGGAGAAATAACTAGAACAATTAAAAAAATATTAAATTAGAGAAGAGAATTTGATAATTTATATTAGTATCATTCCCTGAAAAAGAGTGTAATAATAATATCACATATTTTTTCAAAAGATATAAATGTATTAAAACTATTTTTAATAACCATATATGAATTAATATCATAAAAAATGTATTCGAATAAATAAAATTACTATTAAAATNTTCATTAAATTAAGATTCTTTAAGCAATTAAAGGATTATATGATACATGGAATAATATAAGAATGAACTGATTTCATAAAGAGGTATGGCACCAAAATTAATTTGTTGTTAATGAAGGATATAATAAAAAATTATATAATAAAAGATTGAAAAATCATAATCTTTATAGATTTTTCTAGTGCATACAATACTTTTGAAAAAGATCGATTATATAATTTAATGCCGATGAATAATAGCTTACCTGAAGAAGAAAAATGGTTTTTTGCAAGCAATACACAGACTGATCACAAATATAAATCCACACAAAATGTAAGAAAAATATCGTTACAAAACAGGATCCCATAAGGGTACCCTATATCTCCTCTCTTATTAATATATACATGGATAATTTTTTGAAAAAAACATCAGAAAAGTTTCAATTTTCAGATGATCTAGCATTTATATTATGCAAAAGTCAAATAAAAGATTTTTATATGTGTAAAATTAGCTATCTCAAGAATGGAAACTCCATATGAACAACAAAAAGCAAATACAAATTGAAATAAATAGAAATGAGCGTTCTCCCTATAATATATAGATATAAATATTTAAGAGTAACAATGGATTATAAAGGAAACTTAAAATAACATATAAAGAATTAAAAATAAAATATCAATTATAAACTCATGAAAATTAGATAAATGACACAAAAGATGGAATTCAAACATAGATTATTAATGTATATTAGATACTTTAGAACCTTATTTTTAATATTGCTACATAGTAGCTTAATTTGAAAAGAAAGCGTAAAAACAGATAATCCAAAGAAAAAGAACTGAAACAAAAAAATATCCTAATATTGCCTAAATAAACATCAGATGGTTTTATGGAAATGTTATTAGAAAAAATGGATTTAGTTAATAAAATATCGATTTAAATAGTTTGCAAAAGAATACTTGTTCAAATTTGGATGGTGTTCTTGTACAATTCATAGTAATTAGAGAATTACTTTCAAGCAAATATTATATGATCATTTAGATTTAACCTACTAAATATTCTTAGAATAATTAATATCAAATGGATTAAATGATTATATCAAGGACAGGATGGAGAAATAACTAGAACAATTAAAAAAATATTAAATTAGAGAAGAGAATTTGATAATTTATATTAGTATCATTCCCTGAAAAAGAGTGTAATAATAATATCACATATTTTTTCAAAAGATATAAATGTATTAAAACTATTTTTAATAACCATATATGAATTAATATCATAAAAAATGTATTCGAATAAATAAAATTACTATTAAAATAAAGTTAAAAACTAATTTAAATATAAAAATTCTGAATGTTTTTAGTGATTCAAAGAATAGTTAATCAATTTATAAGGGATTGTGCAATAGAGAGGAGAATAAAGTACTTAATTTTTATGGTTATATAGTTGCGTTTGTAAATATAAAACAACAATAAAATAATGGATAAAGTTCTTAATATAAAATTGTTATAAGAAATTATATTCATTAGAAATATAAATTAAAAAGGAAAATTCGATAAAAACATAAAAAATTGGTTTCTAATTTGAAAACAGACATTAAAATAAAATAGACAAAATGAATAGAAAAAAGAGAAATAAATGCAGAAAGAGGAAGATAATTTCGAAACTAGAATAAATTATAAATGAAGAGTAATTTATACAATTATTATCTGAAAATGGAAAATAATTTGTAATTTGATAGGATATTCAAATAAATAATCTGATTAAGAAAATAAAGTTAGAACAAAATATTGAATTAAAATTTAATAAAGTTCATAATACCATTTATAAATTAATATCTTAAAAATATATTCAAATTAATAAAATGATAAAGAAAATAGGGTGATAACTAAATATTGTATTTAAATGAAATAAAGTTCATAAAGCTTTTATAATTACAATTTTTAGATTAATATTTACAAAAAAAATATTCAAATAAATAAAATTACTATGAAAATAAAGTGAGAACTAAATATTTTAACAAAAATAAATAAAGTTCATAAAGCTATGTAAATAAATTAAGTAAAGATATATATAATTACAATTTATAGATTAATATCTCAAACAAACATATTCAAATAAATAAAATGATGAAGAAAATAAAGTGAGAACTATTAATTTTTATATTTGAAACATATTTTATTATTGATAACATTTAATTTTCTCATTCAAGCAAAATACTTCAAAAATCAGAATTTTTTTGAAAAGATTGATTCTAATCATTTTTGGTTATCAGACGGTTTATAAATTAATCTCAGAAAATAACCTTGATAAACCGAATTATATTGAAAAGATACAAATTTGATCATAAATGCAGAAGGCTTAAATAAATCAACTAAATTAGAATATTGTTATTGTAATTCAAAATTTTTAAAACAAATCAAAACTATTTATTTGTTTAAGAATTTGGTGATATAATTACAAAAAGTAAGTATATTGAAGGGAAAAAAATAAAATATTTACTTTATTATTTAGAAATGATCACATATAGTGGAATATAGTGTTGATAAGAATAATGATATTTGATAGATAATAAAAAAACTTGATGTGATGATTATAAAAATTCCTTAATGAATAAAAGGCATAAAATATGAATAATTATTTGCATAGCTATGATTCATTAAAAAAAGTCTTTAGGAAATTTATTGCCAGCTCTAACTCTAATTTTTATGGGAATTTTTTCTTCAGATTCATTTCTTATGAGTTGACTCTTCTTAAATTTATTATTTAGTTCTTGTGTTGAGAGTAACAATAATTCGAGAATGTTTTCATTTTCAACTTTTTCAAGTTCAATTTTTAGATTCCGAGCCACTTAAATGTTACTTTTACTATCATGTTCAAACCCCATAGAATCATTGTTTTGTGGAGAATTAAAGAAATATTTTTTCTTTTGTGTAGTGACCCCTTCTCGATCTGGATTGTTATTCAACTTTTATGTGTTTATTGAGTTTCTTCTCATTTGTGACAATATGTCTCTTGACTCATTGAGTCTACTAGAGATTGGTTATTTGATACTTTATTATTGCTATGCATTATTCTAGAATAGAGTGTAAATATTACAATATGAATGGAGATTTTAGATTATTTGTTTTATAAATGTTATTGCTACTATTTAAGTTTAACTTTTAATATTTCTTTGCTTGTTATGTATGTTTAATAGGAATTAGGTTATTTATTATGTTTAGGACTTTAATTAAATACATCTATAACTTTGATTCTTTCACTTGATTTACATTTTTCTTCACTACATTATCGTTTGATTAATAGATTTCTTTGAGTTTATGAAACAGATCTATATTTATATGCTTCATCTCTTTTAGTTATGAGTAAATCTAATCCTTTCTTAGGAGTATTGTCCATTGATGATTGATTATTATTCTCTAAGATGAATTTACTTAATTACTGGACAATATTTATTGTGCATAGAGACTTAGATTTGTTTGCTTAGTTTAAGGCTTAATAATTTTGGGATGCTGATTTTCAATGGACCCTAAATTTAGTTAAATTTTGGGAGAAGTATAATCAATAGTTCTTTAAGTTAAATCTTAATTAATGAATTCTAAGGTACTTTAATAATAATACTTGCTTTAGTGAATCCTTAAAAATCTAATTTTGTTTTCAAATTGATTTTTTTAGATCTTATTTATTCGTTAGAATAATATGATGAGAGATATTTTTTGAGCATTTTTTAACTATTTTAATTTATAATTATAATAAGTGTAATATTGGAATTCAATTCTTCAATTAAGTTTGGGAAATAGTTTTGATTTAATCGAACAACATCTTCAATTCTAAATGTTTACTAGTTAATTATTCATATTCAGCAATAATATCTTAATTCTGATCTTCCAATGATTCACACTTTTAGATTGCCTCTTTAAATTTTTCTTAATAATAGTCTCTCTCTTCTGTTATTGGATCCACAACTTTCTTCAATTCTGTCTCTATTTATTATCTGAACCAATTATCCAAAGATTGTTACAATTCTGCAAATTGAGCTTGATAATATTACGTCAATTCACTAATTTTTTAAGTGTTTGATTCATTCTCAATTTTTGCATTCTATAAATCGTTATCTTGTTATTCTAATTAATACTTCTGATCTTGAATTTATTATTCATAATTTTATTTATCATTTTCAAATAAAATTTTTAATTAATTAATCTCATTTTGTGATTATTAATATTATTATTTAAGTGTTTCATTGATGCTACTTAATCTTTTGTATTAATCTAAAATATTTTCCTATTGTTCCTATAACACATTCTTACTTAATTCCAAATTTTCAATATCTAATGTAAGCTGTTGATTTGTTTTCATTATTTCTTATGATTAAATAATTGCAGATTACATATTCTTTATTTCTTATTATACATTCTATAATTCATTAAATAATTTAAGATTGTCTGATTTAAATTTCATTAATTGTTCTTATGAAGTTTGTAATCTATTCTTCAGATATTGAATTTCTGCATCTTTACTTTCTAAAGATTTGATAAATCCATCTTAATCATTTTAACACACTTCCACTAATAATTCAAGTTCTTTTACTTAAGTAACTTAGGTTTTACAATTTGATAATGATTATTGTAATTGTGTAAGCTCATTTTTTAATTATGAATTTTCAGTTAATAATCTATTTGACTTCATTTCAGCTTCTGCTTTTTGTTGCTTAAGTGATTAAATTTGAAACTGAACAACTGAGTATTCCTATAATTTTTCTTCATTCTGTAACAATTTTGCTCTCAATTATTTAATAGTTTATTAATCTGATTCTGAATTATTTGATTAATATTATTATTGTAATCTTTGTAATTATTAATACTTTAGTTATAGATCATTATAAGCTTTCTCTTTCTCCTATAAGAACTTATGTTATAAATCATATTCCTCTTTTAGTTTATCATACTTGCTTTACAAATCAGAAATACTTTAAACATGTTTAGTAGTGTGTTAACTATAAGCAATAGATTATTGGATGTTTTCATCTCTAACAGATAACCTATTCTATTAAGTTTTGAAATCTTATTCACTATTCCTATGTTTATTGAATTTAATATTTTTGAATTATAAAATATTTGCATCTTACATTTTCAATCTATCTTCAACTGTTTACTGATTAACGAGTTAGAGTGAAAATTCAGATAATTTATCATCCATTCCTCTATCTGAAACTTGAGTCTTAGAATTAAATTATCCAATTCTAATAGGTGAATTTGTAGATCTATATAATTCAGGCGCCTTTGGTGGTAAACACTTAATATAGAAAATTTATTACATTTACAAATACTGAAGCAGGAGATTGCAATGATAGTTTTTTATAGTCATTGTCAATTTATTATTTTGATATTATGGCTAAGGAACTAAAGGGTTGTACAAATCTATTCTTTTAATTTGATTATCTCAATGGAGATATTGAATTTTGGGTATGCTATGTAATCAAATAATCATATTTCAGAGGTGAAATTGGATGTGAATTCTAAACTGAGTGTTAAAGAGATGCAGTTGTAGGCCTTCTTTGAGTATGAGTTTCAATATATTGAATATCAGCATTGCTCATTAACGTTCAAATTTATAAAATATAATAAAGCATTTTTTAAATTGTATATTAAGGCATTTTAGTATTTTTTGAATAGATGATTGGTTATAGATAAACTACTAGTTAGAATATTAGAGATTTAGCGAACATCAATGCTTTCTGTTAATGATATTATTAAATATGACTTATAAATTATTATAAATAATATGTTAGATAATAGTGAAGCTATTATTAAAGAATCATTAGAAAGCTATCTGAATTATAGACATGCTGAATGTGTACTAAAAACAGAAATGAGTAAACCACATTTACGATAAAAGTATTGTGAATGCTTGCAATTAGAATCATTTGTTGAATTCGTATTGACATGTTTAGAATTAGTAAACACTACTGTTCTTATGAAACAAAATTATCAATTAAGTCATAAATTGCATTTATAATATTGGAAGATATTTAATGAATTACCTTAACCAAAAGATGAAATGGTAAGTTTCATCTTAATTGCAGTCTGGTTCTTGATACATAGTACAATATTTAAATAACAAACATAAGAAGAGAGAAATAAAATTGATCAGAGATTCCTCTTCAACTCATATCATGTTCTATTATATTATATTAATGGATTCTATGTATCAGATGAATTTGTTCAATAATAAGTTGATATTTATCTTAATAACAGATATTTGGATTATAGACTCAATTCATTCTAAAAAAAGAATCTTAAAAAATAGTAGATGCAATAAACTTAAACTAACTTATTCCCAAATGTTAGTATACCTGAATTAACCTAAGTTTAAGGTGCCACTTAATTTTAAAAAGAATTAAGATTTAGAAAAAAATAGAAGAAATAATAAAGTGAGCCTATTATAATGGAACAGCAATAGTAATAATTAAATAAAATGGAAAATGGATCAGATAGAGGTGGTAGATTTCCAAACTCAATTAAATTTAATCTAAATTAATTATCACCATCTATTAATTCACTTTTAAATCTCAGCAATAAAGCTACTCCAAGAGCAAAATTAGTTACACATTAAATTATATCACATAACTTTAATTAAGTTAAAGTATCAAATGTATTAAAAAACTTGGATGAACCAAGAACAACATTAACTCAAATGAAAGAAAGCAGAGATAATGGTAAAGGTTAAAGACTATTAGATAAATACAGAGTAACTTAACCACCTCTTGAGTATTTTAAAAAACATCCAAAAGTTGATCATTTGTTTAGAGACATGTTAGAAATGAAACTTGTCTTATAATAGAGTCATTAACATATCTATACATAACCTAGATTAGTCAAAGAAGATTCAACAGCCTTAAGAGAAAAACTAGCATAATATTTGGAAGAAAGAACTTTAAAATAAAATTTAACTCCTTAAGATGATTTATTATAATCTAGCCCTTAATTTGGATCTAATATGATGATTACATATTAACATATTAGAACACCTAGTGATGGAACTAGAATGTAAGAAACTCATTCTGTATTTCCATCAGGATAAATTAGTTCATTTCTTTAAACACAAATTTCATAATCCCCATAACCTAAATCTAATAATAATAAATTTGTTTATGAAGACAAAAGGAAATAATATACTGATAGATTCAATAAAGCTAATGGTAATTAAACTACAGATGATAAAATATCAAATTTATAACACAATTTACTAGTTAAATAACATATGATTTAATAACACTTAAAAAAATAACATTGATTTTTTTAATATTATGATAAAAAATATATTACTTTACTTAAATTATTTAATTTTTTAATAGAAAATGAAATAAATTCCTTGTTTGAAACATGATGGATCATATTTGTTATTTATAAAACAAGATAAAGATAAAACTGAGTATGTTTGTGAGGAATGTTGTATGGATTTAGAAAAACAAAAAATTAAAGTAGAATTATAGAAGTTAATTCATATCAAGAATGTAATAATTTCTTAATATATTATAATAGGCACTAAGATCACCAGAATTTCTACTTTCAAAATTGGATTTGTCCCCTTTCCTCTCATAATTTTTTGGAGAATTAGATATTTATCATGAAAGAAACATGAATATTATTCTAAATGATTTTTAGACTTAGTTTTCCAACATTTAAAATGCCCTATAAGCAATTTATAAAGAATTAGAAAGGCATGCGAAAGGGTTTCTAGAAATGAAATAGAAAATTAGTGAAGAATTAAAAAAAGTAATTATTTTATCAATATTAGATTATCAAATTTGATTAATTTAAATAATTTGCAGTTAATCTCGAATAATTAGGAGATTCGATTAATCCTTAAGCTATTAAATAAAATGAACAAATTTTACATGAATATTTAAAAGATCTTACAAAAAATAATTGTTAAGAATTGAATTAAAAATTGATTGATATGTTAGATCAAATGAAACGAGAACCGAAAGATCCAAAAGAAGAATAATATCCTTAATATAGAAAATTAGAAGAATAATTTAAATAATTAAATGCTAGCTAGACCGAATTTGCAAAATAGATTAATTTAATACACTTTGGATAATTAGATTCAAAGTTAATTTCTAATTAATAATCATGGAAGATAACTAATATCATTTAATCTAAATTGAATAAAAAAGTAACAAACTTTTCATAAATATATTTGGGAACTAGAGATGGACTAAGTGGATAAGCTTTTTGGAATAAAGTAAATGGGAAATCGAATTTATTAATGATATTCAAATCTAAAAGTGGATATATTTTTGGTCAGTTCTCTCCTTGTTAATGGAATTAAAATTTGAATGCTTATGTTTAAGATAATACAATGTCATCCTTTTTATTTTCTTAGACTCATGATTAAATATATCCTTTAAAAGATGCAAACAAATAGAATGCTATTTATTGTCATTAATCATATGGACCTTATATTGGGGGTGGTGATATATATATTACAGCAGATTTTCAGAATGGTTCTTCGAATTTGGGACATTCCTATTAATGTGATTAATATTAGATAATTACTAAGAACACCCATTTATATGGTTAAACAACTCCAAATATAGTGGAATGCGAGATTTATCAAGTAATACTTACTTGAATGAATATACATTAAAATAATAATATGATTCACCTTTTTTGTGATTCTTAAAGTTTAACTTTTTGTTACAAGAATTTAATTTAAAAAAAATAAAACAATCTAAATAAAGTTAGAAAATTTAAATTAAATTTTTTTCTTAATCTATTTAACTAATATTAAACTATTTGTTTTGAAATCAATTTAATTTTAGTTAAACCATATATATTATCTATCGAAAATAAGTTGAAAAAGTGTAATGACATGAATAATTTTGTTGAATGTTACATCAATTGATTATAACAATCTGGAAATTTGTCCATATTTCTTAATTAAATATATTTTCAATTAAATAATAAATATTTATTTCATATAAAACAAATTTAAAAAATTTCACATTCAATTATCAAAGGTTTGCATTAACCAAATAAATGATTTTTTTTTTTATCAATTAAATACTAATCACACTTATAGGTAGTTCCTATATGATTAGAAGATCCTTCTTAAAAATCAGATAGTATTTTTATATCCCAACCACTACCAAAACATGGTCCGTAATCATATTTGCAATAAATTGCTTTATCTCGTTGATTGTATTTTATAGGATAAACTTAATCATGTGTTTATGAGAATAAAAATGAGGATAAGGAATCATCTTATACATATTTTCCTGTAAATGTTGGAGTCCATAAACATGGAGTATATGCACCAAATATATAACCACTTTTAGATAGAAAAATCATTAATAAATTAGATCTACCTTTAATGTAATACCAAAACTAATCACCTTATAATCCATCTCTTGTTCCTTAATATATTAATTAATTGCTTTTAATTGTTTTTTCTTATCTAAGTCCAATAATATCAAATAATTTTTATTTATATTGTTCTATTATTGACCTATAATTAATTACAACATTAGGAAAATTGGGTTAAATTTATTTAATCAATTATTAATGTTTATAGGTAATATGATGAAAATATTCCTCCAATTTTAAGAATTATTCTTAATTTTCAAATACTAATCTTCTTTTTTCTAATATTTAATAAAGTGTTTTATTTAGATTTTCAACATCGTTGCTCATTAATTTTTGAAAATATTGATGTAAGTATTATTCATTTTATTCTAAAATCTATTGAGTTAGTGACTCTCTGGATATTTCTAAATTGTCAATAATATTCTTAAAATTGTTAAATTAAAATTCCTATTAATATTTTAAAAAATAACATGCTCAAGTTCATTTCTAATTTTTGATTTTAACTCCAAAATAAATATTACTTTATATTTTAATTCTTATAGCATTCCTTATAGAAAATAATTTATTTCTTCAACTCTTTTTTCAAGTATTTTAATTTAATGATTTAATAGAAATTCATCATAATTAGGTTATTCCATAAAGAAATTCAAGAGATCTTTAGATATATTTATTTTTTTAAGTAATATTTCTGGAGTCTTGTATGCCTAAAGGATTATAATTATAAATACATTATCCAAGTAAATTAAATCATCTGAATTAACTTAATTACTTTTTTAATTAAGTTCTGTTAAACAAACATCACATAATATTTTAGTTTCCATTTTGTTTATTAGAATAAACTTTTTGAGGGATTTATCATGTTAAAAACATGGTATTTACAACATTTTATAATTTACAAATTAAAAGTATGATTTATAATTAATAATTTATACCATCTTTTAAAAATTGAATATTTTATAAAGACATAATAATAATAATAAAATCAGATTAATAAAATCTACGAGATAATATAATATGATTAAAAATAACATATAACATTAATACTCATAAATTAGCAATAACTTCTTGCCAAGTTAATATATTATCAATTCTTTCAATGAATGTTTTTCTATTCTTAATTTCATTACTATTAATTTGATTTGATTTAAAATCAGAATTTAATATTTTCTTAAATAATATCTATAATTATTAATATTAAGTTTTTTACAGTTGAAGTGGTTGGACATTTTAAAATCTAAGTAAGCAGATATTCTGCAAATGGTACATTTTAAACTGATGCCTTAATTTTCTGTTTTTCCATTGCTCTAGTATCCCATTCAATTTGAGAAACTGGTAGGAATACACCATTCTCAATAGTTTCATCAATATTAAATACTGAGAATTTGATTCCACACATTCTTCTATTGGATCCAATAACTTAGATTGTAACTTAACTTATTTTACCATTATCAAAAGCAATTACTCTTATAATATTTTAATATAATATACTTTTTATATGATCCACAATCATAAATACTTTAAATAATAGGATTTTTATCAAATTATTACTCATCTTATTCACATTATTTTTCAAAGATATTAAGGTTATAGGAGTATAATATAGTTTATAAAATTGTTGCTCTCTCTTCATTCTATAATTTATCATAAGATACAGCAAATTCTCTTTGAATAGCAGAAAAATGAATAAGAGTATTACCTTTAACTTTAAGTTTAGTTTTATTAGGTCCAAATGATTCAAAACAATTTACAAGATGAATAGATAATTATTATTAATCTATTTATTCTTTAATGATTTATATTTAACTTTTGGTGCCTGCATTCCATGTTTTACATCTGAAGTACTTCATTCCCAATATACTATTAGCAAAAGTAATTTATAAAGCTTTGAGTTATTATTCAAAAGCTTATACAATTGATTTAATATATTTAAGAAATTCTAGAGGTGATTTTAATGTAATTTATTCTTAAGAGAAGGATTAAGTTGGTTTAGCTTCTGCAATAACTGCTTTGACTTTTTCTTTAGAGAAATGTCTTTCAACTAAGGCTTCAGCAACATCATCTTCTCCAAATTTAGGAGATTTTTCAGTTAGTCTTAGTAATTTACTTTTACAATAATAATTAAATTCATCTTTAATAGATTTAGCATCTTGGAAGAATATATCCATAGTAGAATAATCTAATTCTAAATCTAGCTTAAAACAATCATAATTTGCAGGATCGAAAATTATTATTCTAAATTAATCTGTTTCTAAATGATGTACATAAACAAGACAATTGAAATCAAGGAAATCTAATTTTAAATTCAATCCATTTAATATTCCATAAGGTTTAGGCCAAAGTTATATTTTATATTATTGAGTATTATCATCTTGAACAACAGCTGTGTATGGTAGAATTAAGAATTTAAAGAATTGATGAGTAGTGCTAATATTTGGTAAATTAGTTGGTAAAGAGTCTTGAAAATCTACATAACCAAGTAAACTTTTAAGGAGATCAAATGGTATTTATTCTGAACAAATTTAATTGTTTTATGAATTAAATGCTTTTAACATCAAAACTTTTCCTTCATTAGAATCTGTTATCATGGCATCAACTTTAAAGTTATGAATTACTGTTACTTCACTTTCCCAAGGATTATTATCATTTGTAGAATGTAATTTATTATATATTTTAGTGAATCCTGTATTCATATCAAGAAGATCTAATAATTGAAGTAAATAAGTTTAATTTTATCTTATAATTCTAGGACTAGTATCATCCATTTCATTTTTAAATTCTTCACCAGGTGAATGACTCAATTAACTTTGACCTCTTATTAGTTATCTATTTTTAGTTTCAGAATTACTAATTGGTATTTATATATTCATATTAGTATTAGCTTTCGTTGAATAACTACTTTATTGAGTTTTTAAATATTAAAGTGCTGGATTAGCTAATTATTATTAGAGAAGAGTTTATTATTATTATTATTATTATTATTATTATTATTATTATTATTATTATTATTATTATTATATTAGTTTTTCTAATTTTTATTATTTATCTTATAAATCTTGAATAAATGATCTCAATTCATGAACTTCATTTTATTTTTAATCTTTTTCTTTTTTATAAATAGTATTTTCATTCTTTAATTAAACAAGATTACCTTCTAATGATTCTATTTTCTTTTTTAATTATTCATTTTATTAATTTTGCTGTACACTTTGATCTTACTTCTTTTACAACATTTAATTAGCATATAATTACTTTAATTCTTATAATTCTTATTATTAATGAACTAATTTATTTTATAAGATTTCAAATTCATTAGAATCTAATTTGTTTGTAGTATTTTATTTATATTAAGATGTGGATTATTATGCTTGATTTTTTTAAGAAGGAGTTGAAACTTAATTTTGTACCTAAATTTAAGAGGATGAGATGTTTTCTTGTTTTAATTATTTTATTGAGAATTATTTCTTTATTATAATTGGTTTTTTATCTTATTGACTTTGTTCAGTAAATGTTGAATTTACTTTTTCTTTTTTAATTGATTATGGAATTACTCTATTGTTTATTTAAATAATATACCTATCTAATAATTAATTGATCATAGGTTCAGTTAATAGACTATTACACTTTGAATCAATTTAAAAATTTGAATCATTATCAATTGCATATGTTATTTTTAATTATGATACTAAGAATTTAAAAAATTAATTATCTTTTTAATTTAGATGAGTAATTGATTATCTAGTAAATCCAGGACTAAATGATCTATTTATACTTAATAATTAATCATATATTTATTATCCTAGATATTTTTATGATAATTTAGTTGCATTCATTATGAATCTCTTTTTCAATTCAAATATTGAATAATCAGGACTTTTGCCTATAATTTCAAGTGCTTATTTAGCATAACCTAATTTATTTGAGATATCTAATTATTCACTTAATAATATATAAGCTATAACAAGTGTTTATAAATCATTGAAATTAGGGATTTCATTTTTTTTAATAGATGAAAATACAAAGGTTTCTAATTATTCAAATAGAGCAACAGAACCTTTCAATGAATGTAATATATCAATAGAACTAGATAAGAATAATATTCTTAATTAAACACGATTAAATGAATTGGAAATCTAGATTGAATTAAGAATTTTCTTACTTCTTCAATATCAAATTAGAACTCATTTTCAAAAGCACTGAAATCAGGATTAAGCATTTACATTTCAGACAAGATTTCAAGTATTCTAGTTAATTATCCAGCTTAACCTTAGTATAATTCATAGTTAAGTAACAATATATATTTAAAAACATCCTAATATTATGTATCCAATTATATGAGACAATCATAAAGTAGATGGAGAAAGTGAACTAGTTGTGGTATTTGAAAAAGATGAATGTTAAGGAACAATGTCACAATCTATTGTTTATCTAATTATTCAGTAATTTATTGTATATTTTGTTCTTATGACATAAATTAACTTATCAATTTAAGTAATTTTTTAGGATTATTAGAATTAGTAGAAGAAACTATTATCTCTTATATAATTGTCTAATATAATAATAATAAATACGACTGATTTGATTGCTCTATCTCTTCTTGATATTGCATCATTGTCAGTTTCATTTGATGTTAATTTTTATCTTAGAGATGATTACTTTTCAAAACGGAAGATTCTTGTAGCAGGTTCACTTATTTTTTATGATTGTGATTGTTGTATAAATTTGGAATACATAATTTAATAATTATTTAATTATTTGTTAAGCAAATTTAAACAGTGATGCAACTCAACAAGCTCTTCTTTCCAAGCTCAAAACCAACATACACCAAAGTATCCATATCACTACTACCAAATGTTGAACTACTCCAGATTTAATCAGGCAATTCAGAGTAGTGTTTTAGATGCAGTAATCACTTCTAAATAAAGTCTCAGGTGTACCATAAAATCGTTAAGTTCCAGTTCTGTTAGTTAAACATGAAAATTTCCTAGATGACCTCAATAATAAATACATAATGTTTTTCCATTCTAACAGTGAAGACATGTAAAAATTATTCATTAATCTAGATATAATTGTTATGAATATTTATATCCTATCATTTCTACATTTAATGTAAATCTAATATTAGTCGAATATCCTAGTTATGGAATCTACCAAAATTAATCAGTATCATTTATTTACAAACTAGGCTTCCGCAGATATCATTTCTGAAGATGCAATAGCTGTCTATTAATATTTCATAAACAAAAGAAGAATCAAAAAAGAAAACATTATTCTTATGGGTAGAAGTATGGGTTGTGGTCCTGCTTGTCTATTAGCTTCATAATTTAATCCTGCTGCTCTAATTACTATTAGTGGTTATACTAGTCTTAAAGAAGTTGCTCAAAGTTTTATTGGTATTATAAATATATTATTTAGGATCTGTATTGGCTAAATTGATAGATCAAAAATTTGATAATTTAAAAATTATTTCAAATGTCACATGTCCTATGTTAGTTATACATGGATAAAAAGATTAATTTATCACTTGTGATCACTCTAAAAGATTGATCTCTTAAACTAAATCCAAAATTAAATAATATCATCTATCTGAAAATATGGTATTTATAATCTTACATATATATATATATAGACACATAATGATTTTAGTATTCAAGATGATATTATTCAACCACTTAGAAATTTATTCGAAAAAATTAATTTCATTTAAATACCTTAATAATTACCAAAAGAACAAAATCCCCTCGGAATTATTGTTTTAAGAAAGTAACACTCCAAAAAATAAACTAATTTAATTCTTTGATCTGATTATTTTATTTTTTTTTATAATTTGTTATTAAATCAACTCTTACTTTTTTTTCAATAGTATTACTAAATTTTTACTAATATCGTTGTTAATATATTATTAATTATTTTACCATACAAATTCAAAATAAACTAAATGGAACCAGAATTCAAAATTAATGATTAAATACTATTTAAATAATCCAGAACACAATAACTTTTGGATGATGGAATTGTATAAAAAATTTATAAATTATTTAGATCACTACTATATTTACTAATAAAAAACCTAAAAAATATATTGCATAAACCAATAAAAATAATAAGTAACACTTTTCTGTATAAATAGATATCAATTTATCAAAAACTAAATGAAATCAAACAAATAATGTTTAAATATTAATGATCATTCCTACAATATTGAATTCTAAAGAATTTTATCTTAGCTTATTATGCAAAAGAACGAAGATTAATTGATAGAATAAGTAATCATATTTATTCAAATTTTAGTTAAAAACATTATTAAATCGAATTACATTTGACTAAGTAATCTAAGCATAAAATGGACCCAAAATTATTTACACTACTTACAAATTTCTGATTATGAGAAAACCATCCATTATTAGAAATTATCCTTTTATTACTATCAACCTAGTTATTAAACAACTAAAGAAACTCATTATTTAAATTAAAAAATAATTGCTCTAAAATGTACTTAAATTTTATAATTATATTAGTTTAATTTAAATTCATAACAGCAATATTCAATAAAACAAAAATCATCAAAGGAAAATCAAATAACCTTTAAGTAAATGAAAGAGATCAAATAAATACAAAAAATATAATCAATTTGCGAAGACTCTGAAAAGGATGAGTAACCCACTGCATTCTATGAAAATTTTAGTATTCTCATTAAATATTCTTATAGTTTCTAATTCATCATCATTTAGACCTTATAAAATTGATATTAAGAATCATAAATTAGAATAAATCTCTTTATCTGAAACTAAGGCTACTCCTAAAATTGATTAAATCAAAAATATTTATTTCAAACCAATAATACTACTAGGACCTGCATCCCATTTGCAATACTGAACTTTTTCTCTACATGAGTAATTAATTAAATGTTTCAATTATATTATATATATACATAAATAAAATTTAATAAAAATTAATAGAGTTCAAATACTCAATTGAATTCTATCATAAAGCGTTCAAACTTCATTTAATTTCACATTTTGAAAATAATTTAAAAAATTATATCAAAGAATGTCCTCCATATAGTTAGAAATTAAAAATTGTGGGAATCATTAACTAGAAATAGTTGCTGTTGATCTCAAAGCTCCTAAAGAAAAAAAGGAAAAATTCTTATGCGTAAAATGTTTGATTGAGAGAGTTGATGGAAATTATATAGTATTATTGAAAGAAGGTCTTGAAATGATTTAGGAGATGAAAAAAAAATGTAAACTATAAGTCATGACAGATACCCAACAACAATTAGAAAATATTAAGAATCTTTAATCATCTGTTTCTGAAATTAATAAACTTTTTTCAGATGTATTTGGGAAATTGTAAAATAACTTTGATGAAAATATCAATTCAAATTAATAGGAAATTGAATGCAAAGAAAAAACTACCGAAGATGTAAATTTAGATTAAGATTTTGAAACCTTATCTAATTATTATAAAGGAAACTTTGTTTATGATACTCCAAAACAATAAATGGATTTAGAAAGCTTCAAATCATTAATGGATAGTATTTAAAGTTAACTTTCTTGGATGTCAAATGCATAATAATTCTCTTAAATATTTGAATCCATTAAAAAGATTCAAACTCAATATCAAATCGAACAGACTATTTCTAAAAAAGGAGTAGATAAACATGTATTAATTAAAATAAATTAATTAGAAAACTCTAAGCCTAGGTTAAACATGTAATAATAATGATCACGGCTTAGAAATCATTATGATTTATCTTAATGAAAATGAATCTAATCAAAGTGGATTAGCATGCTCAAGATGTATTCAGTAATATCCAAGAAGAGAATATATTACAATAGAAGATGCAAATATAAAATGGAAAGAATTCAAAAGATAATAAAACTAAATGATAACTAATTATAATAATAATAGATTTGCTAAATTTACTTCTGCTATTAAATCCATTTAATAATTAAAAGATATTTATAATTAAACTTTAACTGATATTATATAATAATTAGAAAGAAAGCGAATTATGAATAAAGATATGTCTTAAACTAATTAAACTATTGTAGAAGAAATATATGAATTAAATGAACAAGAAATTCAAAAGGTAGTTGAAATTCTAAGTTTGAAAGATAAACATCTAAAATTATAAAAAGAATAAGATTATTAAGATTAAATTGATTCAATATTCTATTAGAATCTAAAATAAAACTTGGAGAATCTTATGAAATATGATTTATTAACAAAACATAATTTATTGAGAATATAGAATTAAAATTAATTAAAAGAATAAAAAGTAGATTAAATTATAGATATAGATGAAAAAGGTCAAACTCCAGATATCAATTTATTCATTAAGAAATTTGAGTTATAAGATGAATATATTTCTATACTCGATGATGCATTCAATTTTTATAGGATGTTACAATAAGACATGGATGATTTATAAAATTAAGGAAAATTATCTTAAATATTGAATTCAGAATAAGAAACTCAATCATAAATAATCTAATAATAATATCAAGCATTCTAAAAGAATTCTAGTAAAATGAAAGTATTTATAACTGCTGAAGAAAACTATAAATAGTTAGTGGCATTATCAGATGAATTAAATTTAAATAAATAATAATAATAATTAATTTAAACTTAAGTGGATGAGTAAAATAAATAGATTGAAACATTAAATTAGTAATTAGAATTATTGAAATAAGAAAATACAAAATATAAAGATGAAGAATCTAAAAAGGAAGAATCAATTAAATAGATTGAAACATTAAATTAATAAATAGAATTATTGAAATAAGAAAATAATAAAGTTAAAGAAGAATCTAATCACGAGGAGTCTATTAAATAGATTGAAACATTAAATTAGTAAATAGAATTATTGAAATAAGAAAATACAAAAAATTAGAAAGATGCTTAGGGAAAATTAACAATAAAGGATCAAGAAATTTAAACTGCTAAATAAAAATACACTTAATTATAATAAGAGCACAACTAATATAAAGAAAACCTTAGAGAATAGCCTAAGCTTCTCAGCCCTTAATTTTGTACTGAAGTTTGCAAATAAATTGAGGATAAAACAAAAAAGTCCATTAGATGTTCTTTACTTATGTATTAAGCAACAAGAGATGGTATGAATCACACTGGTTTTTGGAATAAAATTAATGGAAAATCTAATTTACTTATTGTATTTAAATCTAAGAGTGGCAATATATTTGGTGCTTTTTCTCCTTGTTAGTGGTTATAAAATAAAAATGCTTATGTGCAAGATGATACATTATCATCATTTTTATTTACATAGACTCACAATTAATTTTATCCTTTGAAAGAAGCTAATAAAGCTAATGCTATTTATAGTTACTCCTCTTATGGTCCTACTTTTGGAAGTGGACATGATCTTTATATAGGTACAGATTTTTAAAGTGGATCTTCTAGCTTAGGGACAACTTATTAATGTGACTAATACTAAATTCCAGATGCAACCATCCATTTGTTTGGATAGGCAACACCAAATTTAGAAGAATGCGAAATATTTGAACTTATTTTAAAATGATAATTATTTTTAAATAATATAATAATCATAATACACATTTAAATATTAAAATGTCCTTTATTAATAAATTATATAGAATATTTATATTATAGTTATATCTTTATTGCCTCAAAACTTTTAATTTGAGTATTAATAATTAAATAAATTATTAATTTACACCGATATAATTATTTTATGTGACATTATGAACAATATATTTTAGAATTAATCTAAAAGGATACTTATTATTTATTTTAAAATAATTAAAAAATAAAATTCTATAATAATTCTAATAATATTAAATATTGTACATATATTTTTGATTAAAATATATAAATTATGAAGGTAAAACCATTCACCTTTTTTTATAATGTTTTCCTTTTAGTTTAGAAATAATTTTAATAAAATCTATATAAATAATATTACTTAATTATTTAAAGTAAAAATTTAATGGATCAAAATTGATTCTAAACAGTGGATGATAATTTATAATTTGAATTAATTAAAGACTATATAGACATAAATTTAAACTGACTTAATAATTATTTTAATAATATAAAAAATCTTTATGTCTGAACAAGAATTAGAGAAAAAAACTTGTTAAGAACATAAAAATTTTGAAATAATTGCTGTCGAATATTCATAATCAGAATAATAAGTTATTAAATCTTTATGTGTAAACTGTCTTATATAAATGATTGGAAATAAAAATATTTTATTGTATGATAAGCTTATAGAATTGATTAAAGAGAAGAGGAATAAATGCGATAAGGAAATTAAGGAGAAAACTCAAGAAAGAGTTAATTATATGAATGAACTCTAATAATCTTTTTCAAAGCTTGATTAAATTATGAAGGGAGCAATTGCTGAATTGTAAAATAATCTTGGTCAAAAAATATCTGAAAGTTAGAAAGAAATAGAATAAAGAGATTAATAGGTCGACTCTACAAATTTGGATGAAAATATTTAAACACTATTAAGTACTTCTGGAGTTAATGATGAAAAATAAAAATAAACATAAAAATAGGAGTCAGACATAATTAAAGATTTATTATTCTTAATTAAAAAGTAGCTTCAGGAAATACCAGCTACATAAGAATACTAATAAATAATTTAATTGATTAAAAAAATAGAATAATCATTTTAGATTAAATTAGAGCCAATAAAGATGGAGGCGATTGTAATTATATAAAATTATATAGAAAACTCCAAGTTTAAAGTAGATTTGTAATAAACATAAAAAAGAGATTATTATGATTGATTTAAATCCAAATGAATCATAAAATAGATTTGCATGTGTATAATGTGTATAAGAATCTCCTAATAATTATGTTGGATTAATAGAAGTAGTTGAGAGATTGCGTAAATATACAGATGAATAATGCGATATCAATAAAGATTACAATACTAAAAGAAAAGAAAGATTTTGCAAAGCCAATCAAATGCTTTTAGATTTGAAATAGAAATACAATTAAGTAATCTCTGAGATTATTTAATCTCTTGATTCATAATTTTTATAAGATGATTCCTTGAAATAGAATAATAATTATGAAAATATAAGTTTGAATATTTAGGATTTAGAATAACAAGAAATCTAAAATGTTGTAGATATTTTGTGTTAAGAAGATTAGCATGCAAATCTAAAATAGAAATTAGAAAAACAAGATTAAGATGACTCAAAAGTTTATAAAGAATTAGAGAAAGGTTTAGAAAGTCTTATGCAATATGATATTTTAACTATTCATAATTTAATGAATACTCTAAATAATAATCAATTAGAATTATTAAATATAGGTGATTTTATTTAAAAAAATCAAAGTAATACTAAATTAGATGATAATTATTTCATTAAATACTTCTAAATATTATAAGAATATATCAATATAATTGATAAATCCTTTGAATTTTATTTGAATTTACAAAAACAGGTAGATGAAAGAAATTAAGTAGATTCTTAATCATAAAGATTTTAAGAAGAATATAAAAAATTTTAGTTTAATTCAACTAAAATGAAAACATATATCATGGCTGAAGAAAATGAAAAATAATCGAAAATATTATAAGAAGAAACATAGTAATAAAAATCAAAGTTATAGGAAGATAGTAAATAAATTGAACAATTGTAAGTACAATCAAGTTAATTAAATGATGAATTAAATTAATTGAAATAAAAATTAAAAGAACTTTAAGACAAATTAACGTAGGAATCTTTAGAAAAAGAAAATTTATAAATAAAATTGAAAGAATTTGAAAATAAAAATTAATAATTGTAATAATCTGTTGAAGTTTATGAAAAGAAAACAAATGTATTGAGTGAAACTATTGATAAAACAAAAAAGAGTTTAGAGGAAACAACATCTACATTAAAAAGTAAAGAATCAGAATTGGCAAATTATTCAAAAAATCATGATGAATTATTAAAAGAATTAAAATGTGTTTATTAATTTGTAAATATTAAATGGGAAAGTGGAACAAATACTATATTAAGAAATGATTATTTTAACTTTATACTAAGCTAAATTGAAAAAAAAATGAATAAAAAAATTAAAAACCAATATTTGATATATTCTGGATAAAAACATGGATTAAATAGTGAGGCATTTTGGAAATGTATTAATAAGACATCTAATTTATTAATGATATTCAAATCTAAAAGTGGATATATTTTTGGTGGGTTTTCTCCTTGTTAATGGATTTAAATTGGTGGAGCTTTTACTGAAGATAATACAAATTCATCATTTTTATTTTCATAGACTCATGATTAAATATATTCATTAAAAGAAGTAAATAAATAGTATGCTATTTATTGTCATCAATCATTTGGACCTACTTTTGGTAATGGTCATGATCTACAAATTGGTTAAGATTTTTAATCTGGTTATTCTAATTTAGGATACCATTATTAATGGGATGGATATTAATTTACTAATAGTACACATTTATTTGGTTAGCTCACTCCAAATATAGAATAATGTGAGATAATAATGTTAACATATGCATGAATAATATAGTAAATTATTTATTTATTAAATAATTTCAAAATATCTTCAAAAATATTATATATTTGTTAAAATCAAAATAATTTAATTATTAATTAATATTTTTATGCAAACAGAATCTAAAATTAAATCAATTCCCTGTTTTAAACATGAAGGATCCTTTATACTTTTTATCAATATAGGAAAATAAAACACAGAATTTGTTTGTGATGAATGTTGTGTGGATTTAAAAGCATTAAATTCAGATTAAGAATTAATTCATATTAAAAATGTATAATCTCTTAATATACTAAATAAGGCTTTAAGATCACCTGAATTTTTTATATCTAAATTGAATATTTCATCATCTCTAAAAGAGTATTTAATTAAATTAGATAAATGTAATGAATAAGCCATGAAAAGTATTCTCAAGGATTTTGAAACTAAAATAACTGATATATAAGAAATCCTTAAGGGAGTTTATTAAGAATTAAAATGCCATGTAGAAAGTATTTTAAATAAGAAATAGAAAATTAGAGAAGAATTATAAAAAGTAAATTATTATAACAAAATTAGATTATCCAATTTGATAAATTTACATAATTTGCAATCAATTTTATATAATTAGGTGATTAAATTAATCCTTAAGCTATTAAATAAAATGAACAAATTTTACATGAATATTTACAAGATCTTACAAAAAATAATTATTAAGAATTGAATTAAAAATTGATTGATATGTTAGATCGAATAAAAAGAGAACCAAGAGATCCAAAAGAGGATTAATATCCTTAATATAGAAATTTAGAAGAATAATTTAAATAATTAAATGCTAAGTAGATAGAATTTGCAAAATAAATTAGTTTAATAAACTTTGGATAATTTACTATAATATATGATTCAAAGTTAGTTTCTAATTAATAATCATAAAAAATAATTAATATCATTTAATCTAAATTGAATAAAATAGTAACAAACTTTTCATAAATATATTTGGGAACTAGAGATGGATTAAGTGGATAAGCTTTTTGGAATAAAGTACAGGGAAAATCGAATTTATTAATGATATTCAAATCTAAAAGTGGATATATTTTTGGTCAGTTCTCTCCTTGTTAATGGAATTAAAATTTGAATGCTTATGTTTAAGATAATACAATGTCATCATTTTTATTTTCTTAGACTCATGATTAAATATATCCTTTAAAAGATGCAAACAAATAGAATGCTATTTATTGTCATTAATCATAAGGACCTTCTTTTGGGGGTGGTCATGATTTACAAATTGGTTTAGATTTTCAGAATGGTTATTCTAATTTGGGACATTCATATTAATCTGATTAATATTAGATTACTACTAAAAACACTCATTTATTTGGTTAAACTACTCCAAATATAGCAGAATGCGAAATTTATCAAGTAATACTTACTTGAATGAATATACATTACAATAATTAAAAAAAACTACATCATATAAATTTATGTTGTTCAATTATCCTTTTTCAATATATAATTTATAGAATATTTTATATTGAAAATCATCTCTTACCAGTTTGTCTATTTGAAATAGATATATTAATAAGATTTATTATGATAAGACTTGTGTATAGTATTTTTTATTAAATGCACTTATCAATAATTTAAATTCAAATTATATACAAAAATTATAATAAGAGGTTTATTTTAAGATAATTATAATTAAAACTAAGCCATGATTCATGGTTTTAAAACTCATCAATCAGACAAGTTTGACTTCTTTTCAATACTTAATTAAATGTTGGATTGTTTGGCTATATCCAATATGAATTAGATAATCACGCACAAAACGACTATCAGAAAAATTGACAAAACAGTGGCAATTACTATTCTTTTGGTTTAATTGTCCTTATTTTCTAAGTCTAAATAAATAAGAAATATAAAATAACCTAGAAAATTATAGAAAGGTGTTCCTTAAAAAAAATCCGCAATTTCTAATAAGAATACTTACTTGGTTTGAATAGGTTTACTGGCATCTTATATGTCAAGATTATTGAGGAAGGTAGGTTAAATTTGATCTGAAATTGGAATTGGATGGACAAATGCTAAGAGAAGCAATAAAAACATTAATACTCTAATTTTATATATATTTCAAACATCCAATTTAAATCGATGAAGGGAATCAAGTTCAGCTTTTTTGAAGGCTTTTTATTTGGAATTCGTAATGAAATCTTAAAATACTTTGGAATCACGTACATAAGGATCTTTAAAGAGGGCCTAAATATATAAGAGATTGGTTTAGAACCTAAAGATAGATATCAAGTTATGATTTTCTGGTTTAAATGAAATTGGGATTAAGATTACCAAAGAGTCTTTTTTCTGGGAAAGTGGGTAATTGGGACTTGATCACTTCATCAAGGGTTTAATGGAGCTCAGATAACATACTATATCTAGTCCAAAAAGACCATACAACATTGTCGACTTTAAGTCTAATGAGGTATTAGGTATGGGAATTGCCTTTAATTTTGTGGTCGTGTAAAGAAATCCAATCGTTGGTGTCAAGTGAACGACGTTTACGCTTCTTAGATTTACCCAAGAATTATAAGACAGGAGCTTCTGATGTATGGGGTTATGATTATCCGACCTAATGATGTTTATTATTAATAAAGTATACATGAAGGTGAGCTGAAATCATAGTTTTGGGTAAGAAGGATTTGCAGTTTTATTTAAAAATAAATATTTATGAAATATAAGTTAATGAAGGATATTCATTAGGAATAATCTTAAATAAGTATTTAAAAGGAATTGGATATTTGTGAATCCAAGTTACCTAATTTGAGTTTTCTTTACATGACATGTACTCTTTTTTCAATCTAAAAAAGATAGCATAATGTAATTACTTCGTTAATTTTCTTTTGATATTGGATATTGAAAAAGGATTGTTTTCTTGGTTAAGATTAAGCATTTCTGACATAGGTTTTTGTTTATTGAAAATCATTAAAACTAGTATTCTTATATTAAGTTTATCTAGTTTAAATAGGCTTTGAGGATAGTTGTGAATTGTAATACTCACACAAATATTATTGTTTTGCCTTTTTTATGCTAGAATTAGGTAAATCAGTTTACAATTCAATGTTTTTACGAGTCTGATTCCATTTATGTAATTATTACTCTATATTTTATAATTTATGATACAGTAATTCTTTTCGATTATGATGATAACGTTCTTATTTGAGACTTATAATTTATTCTAAATATTTATTTTTTTAATCTAATTCTAACTTCATTTATTCTTATTTTGATTTTAAATCAATTTTTATTGGAGTTGTAGGTTCAGTATGATTATCATTATAAGTAGTAAATAAAGGTTATAATGATGTAATCTTTGGAATCTAAAATGAATGTTATCTAACTTAATTATATTTTTTTTTCATCCTAATTACTTATTTAATTATAACTAATATATATATATATATTTAATTAATAATGATTAATCAAGTTCATTGAAATTTAATTATATGAATTTATACAAATTATAATCCAAATAACTTAAAATGTATACATATATAGAATATCTAATCAATTTAAGATTAAGTTAATGTATTTTATATATATAATTTATAGAACAAAATTCTGATTGTATATATAAAAAACAATTAAACATTAAGAATAATACATATAAGATTCTTTATTAAATCTCTAAATAATAAATTGGATAAAATAATAAAATCTCTTTTTTTATTTATTCAATTTTTGTAAAATATTCTAATTTTATGAATATAGCAAATAATATATAGATATGTTTCTTATATTATTGTTATTAAATTAATTGTATGTTTTATAATATATCAATAAACTCTTTCACATAGAGAATTTAAATTAAGTATATTAAATATATATATATATATATAAAATGGATGATGATATTTTCTTAGGGTTAGAAACTATTCAATAATTTGATGAGAAAATGAAACAGTTCTCATAATAGCATCAATTTAGAAGATAATTATAAAGATATCCTGTATAAAAGATATTAAAGAGATCAAACAGTTTTGCATAAAGTTAAATTAGTACAGCAATAAATTCATCTGCTCATGCAAGCAGAAAATAAACAATATCATAATTAGAAATGAATCCTCCTAAACGTAGACATTGTGAATTCTATAATGATGAATTTTGCATGAATCTTTTTGCTGAAAAAATAGAATATTTGTGTACTTAATGTTATGATAAAAATGAAGTAGTAATAAAAGAATTGAATAGAGTTGCATAAGAATTAGGGTATTTAATTTAAGATAATGTATAAGAATATCATTACATAGAGTATAATAATTTGAGAGTGTTTAAGAAAGAGAATAATATATATTAAGTTAGTTATAAAATTAAGTACTTGATTCAATAAAATAATGGAAATAGAGAATTGATTAAAGAGAAATATAAAGAAGAAAAAGTGATAATATTACAATAAATACAAATAGTTAAGATAAAATGTTGGATATATTTGATTGGATAGAAATTGATACAAAATTCAGATAATTGAAAAAAAGATTAAAATTTGCATTAGTTGAAATGATAAATGATAAAAATAATACTAGTAAAATATCATTTTAATTATCTAATCGAACTGGTGATACAATTTAAGATTTACTTTATAAAAAACCAGATACAAGATAAATTATTGATGAATTAACTAATTTATTAAAAACTATTAAGAATAAAAGAAATGTTACTAATATATAATTGAATTCACCAAAATCTGTTAGAATTGAAAAATGGAATTAAAGTAAAGAAGAATAATTTATAGCTAAAAGATTATCTGCTAAATAAAGATTAAGTAAATTAATTAATAGTAGTTCTTGGAATAATATAGCTATTGGTGAATTTGTAAGTAATTTAGACAAAGGATAATAAAATAAATAAAAAAGATAAGAATTAGAATCTAAATTTGAATCATATTAATCTATGAATGAAGATGATTTATTATATCTTATTAATACAAGTGTATTATTAAATAGATGTTCTGATAAAAAGTATATTATATATATATAATATTATTTATTAGATTTATTTAAAGTGCAATCAATCATTTAGATTAAGATATTATTAGTGATATTGAATTATAAATAGCAGAAAATATATTAAAAAGTCATTTTGATATATAAAAATAAGTTAATTAAACAAGACATGATTTTCTTAAAGAAAGAAATGAAATTTAATTTATTAAAAATAGATAAGCAAAAAATATATAAGAAAGATAAGAAAAATAAAATTCAATTAAAAAATTATAAATTAAGATGTGTAATATTTTAAGAGAAATGAAAGATAAAACTAAAACTACTATGAAATAAGATTCAGAAAAATATAATTTATATTATTAAGAATATAAATAAGGAAATCCTATAGCTAATCCATATGTATGGAAATTTAAAGAAATTATGATGAATGTTATTAAAAAAAAAGTATATATTAATTTATTATTATTTTCTTAGAAAAATGAAAGAAGAGATTAAAAATTAGGAGTTAAAAGTGAAAATCATAAACCAATATTTCCATCCAAAGAAGAATCTTTAATATTAATGAATGTTATCAGAAAAACTCATCCTTCATCCAAATTACGTTTAATTCCTTAACAATAATAGGAGTATTTTCCAACACCTGCTAAAGTCTTTAATGAATATAAATTGAAAGTCTAAAAAAAAGAATATGAGAAAAATTAATCTAATTTTCTTAATTTCTATACTGGAGGACCAAAAAAACCTAGAAAATATTCTAGTCCATAATTATAATTTATTGAAGGAGGTGAAAATAAATCAGATTGGATTACTCCTGAAATTGAATTAATTGCTATTAATAAAATTAAGAGAGCATTAAAAGCCTATGTCTCCAGAAAGAGATATATTAGAGAAAGAGAAAAAAAAAGATAAAAAGAATATTAAGAGAAAGAAAAAGATCCTAAATTCTTTCGAATTCTTAGTAGAATGAAATCTAAAAATTATAATTCTCTTGATATAGAGGAATGTTATAAAAGTCTTAAATAAGCTATTGCTTAAAGTGCTGGCAATTCCAAATAATTATTATAAAAAGGAGTCTAAATGGATTATTCTAAAGTCAAAGTACCTCATTCAATGATTTAATTGAAATTAAAATAAAGAAAACTCTTTTTAGCCTTAAAAGTAGGTAATACTAATTGGGCAGAATATTCAGGTTTTTAATTTGAACCTCAAGATGTTAATTGTTATGATACCAATATGTATTGTCCTTTATATCATGCAGCTTAATTGTAAAGTATAACATTTTGTAATTTTCTCATTAATGCAGGAGCTGATGTCAATATGCCTTGTTAAGGAGGACTTACTCCTACCTTTGCTGCATTTATTACAAATAATATAGTCTTAATCAATTTATTCATATCAAATGGGGCTAATATTGATATTCTTAATGATGAAGGTAAGAATCCTCTATGTTATTGTTCTATTTAAATGTTAAAAGAACTCAATTTATAATACAATCCTGTTAATAGCAAATCATAAACACATAGATAAAAGAGCAGAAGAACTTAATCAAATTTGGAATAAAATTATTCACCATATGCTGAAATGAAAATGGAACCAATGTTAAATGTTAATGATGAAATCAAATGGTAATAAGATTAAATAGTGTCTTTAAGAACATTTTATACCAAGAAGGAGAGAGATAACTTTTACTATCTAAAATAAAAAGCATAATCTTAAAAAGAATCAGAGAATAATTAAGAAAACTAGGAATAAAAATGAATAGATTATTAATATTACTTTATATATATATAAATAAATATATATTAATATTTAATCAATAATTTATTTGATCATGAGAGATTACGTTTAATAACCTTTTTAAGTGATGGAAAGTATGTACTCATCACTCTACTTACACTATTATTACATAAATTACATTTTATTTTTTTTAGTGAACTAGAGTGTTATCTTTATTTTTGATTTATTTATTATATTTTTTACTTTCTTATTAAATTAAGTAGAGTATTTTATTTATAATTTTATTTTTCTATTGATTTTGTAATTATTTCTATTTTATCATTATTAGTTTCATTTGTTTAAATTAATTATATCTAATCTGAAAAAACTAATTTATTTATTGAAGGTAGCATATGTGAATCTAAGCCATATAATCTGCAACAATCTTTAATAAATCTATTTCTAGGAGTCACTTGATTAGAAGATATATCTTTATATTATATAAACGAATTGTTATTTGTATTACTTTAATTTATACTATTTTCTTTAATTTATTTATCTATTGATAATAGACTTGGTATATAATTTATTCGATTTTAATCCAATCCATCAAGTTTCTGTATTTAATTATTTGTTGTTTAAATACTTAAATCACTGATATTTTTAGTAGGTGATTAAACTGAATATCGAACACTTTTAGGAGAGGATTAAAATTTCTATGGAATTAAGAGATTTAATGTTTCTTTAAATTTCTATTTAATAATTTCTGAGGTCATTGTTGTTTATGAATTTTTAGTTAGAATTATGTTCTTAAATTTTTTCCATTTTTTTGATGGACTTGGAGTAGAGGCTTGATTTGAATAAGCTTATAAATGCTAAAATTATTCCATTCTTTAACAGAATATAGGATTTTAATGTCTATATATTATAAGTGATTCTTTTTTGTATTTCCTATTAGATTTAAGATAATCTCTAAACCAAAATTCTTTGGGCAATGATTGAGCTACAATTAACCTACCATATGTATCCATTCTTTTGGGTTTAATTTCAGTAGCTGATTAAAATAAGTTCTTTTTTGATAAATAATTAATAGGAGCTTGAAAATTAAAGAAGGAACGACCCTACATAGTATTTAATTTATACATAATATTTTAATTCAATATTATAATTATAATTTGATAAAGCTTAGAAATTTTATTTATTAATAAATTTAGTTGAAGTACAATTGTTTTATTATTAGAAGAATTTCTATAGATATATCAATTAATAATTGAGTTGCTAAATATTTTTAAAATCTTAAAGAATTAGGATTTAAAATTGAAGATCGGATTGGAAATTGATAATATTAAATTAATCTTATAAAGTATTAATAATATTTATTGTTTAAATGACTGAATTGGCAAAGAGTTCATATTGGACAGATTTGGAACAAAAAATTACAAATGAAACAGTATTATAAACTATGAGAAAGTTTGGATAGTTTGAGCACAAAATAAATGATGGTACAACAATTGTATATTAATAGTTATATAATAAATAATTGACTCACATGAATTAACCTATAAGTCAGATGTAGTTATGGATAATGGATCAGTTTACACTGGAGAAATGAGAAATAATCAAAGATGTGGAAGAGGAACTTAAATTTGGAAAGATGGATCTATATATGAAGGGTATTTGTCTTCAATTTAGAAATAGAACTTGGTTAGATGGCTCAGCATTTGGATTTGGAAGATTAATTCATGCAGATGGAGACTTATATTAAGGAGATTGGAATGGAGATAAATCAAGTGGCTATGGAGAATATTATCATCTAGATGGAGCAGTTTATAAGGGAGAATGGAGTGAAGATAAATAAGATGGAAGGGGAATTGAGAAATGGCCTGATGGAGCTATATATGATGGTGAATATAAATAAGGAAAAAAAGATGGAAAGGGAAAATTTGCTTGGACAGATGGATCTAAGTACTATAGTTTACAATAAAATAGATATGAAGGAGATTTTAGTCAAAATGATATTCATGGATATGGTGTTTATAAATGGGCTGATGGAAGAGTTTATGAGGGAGAGTGGAAACACAATAAAATGGATGGATATGGAAAATTTGTTTGGTCAGATGGCAGATTATATACAGGAAATGTAGTTATTATTGTAAAGTTTAGTACAAAGAAGATAAGAAGTAAGGTTTTGGTAAATTTTAATGGCCTGATGGAAGATCATATGAAGGATAATGGGAAAATGGTAAATAACATGGAGAAGGAGTATATATAACTGCAAATGGAGCAAGAAAAAGAGGAGAATGGATAGAGGGTAAAAGAACAAAATGGTTAGAAACTGAATAATGAAATTTATGCTATTTTATGATGGCTATTTGATCTAACATATATTTAATAAAAGATAATTGAAAAGTCTTGATTTTTTGATACAATAAATTAAGAATAAATTAATTATGATAACAACTTCATAATCTTCTAGTGATTCTGAGGTTAAAAAAAGAGTAAAGGAATATATATGTGGAGATTCCCTATGTCGAAAGAAATATGGAACGAATGCTGCTTTGTATACTCACATCAAAAATAAACATCTTGGAGTTACACCTGTATGAATTAAATAGGATGATAGAGTGGAACAAAAAGACCATCATCAGAGTCTATAAAAGGAAGGAAGGGGAGACCTTAGTAATTAAAAGCAGAGAATAAACAATAGGATAGTATTACAGAGGAGAAAATAAAAGTTGTTAAGATAATGAGTACTTAATCATTTTAAGATTTCATTTATTTAATTGGATAGATTGGAGATCATTTATTAATTAGAGATTAAGATGAATAATATCGTTATATTTAGACTGAAGAATTAGAAAAAATAAAGAATGATTGTGTATTATAGTATTTAATAATGATAGATTGGAGATCAAGTATAATTGCAAGAATAACACAAATAATTTATGATTTAATCATCTCCCTTTTGGAAACCTGAATACTTCTACTGTATATATTATTTTATAATATTTTCCTTCAACAAAGGGTGCTTTTAAGGTATTAATTAATAAATATTGATGAGCTAAAATAAAAGGTTGAATCAAATGATAATCTTGCTTTGCTTAATAATCTTATTCAATAAAATCCGAATCAGATTAAACTAATATTCCAATAATTGAAGTCATTATGAATAACATCAATTAGTAATATTTAATCATAACACAAATGATGTTATTTAAAATATATATTTACAATAGAGATTATTATTATAAATGGGACTCTGTCTCTCAAAGTAAGAATCAGAATAACACACAACCTTATCATAAGAAAAGTTTTAATAAGAAGATGAACTTAATGGAATGTAAGTAGAGCAAATCAGATTAAGTGATGAAGAAAAAGTATCATTAAAGGATTTTGAGTTTCTTAAAGTATGTATTCTTTAGATAAGGTTCTTGGTAGAGGTGGTTATGGGAAGGTAGTCTTAGTAAATCATAAAAGTTAATCAAAATTATATGCTATGAAAATCTTAAGAAAAGATCTTATACAATAAATGAATTCTCGAATTTATATGGAAACAGAAAGAAATATCTTAGCTTTGGTTAAGTGTCCTTTTATTGTGAATTTATATTATGCATTCTAAACAAAATAGAAATTGTATTTTGTAATTGATTTTATGATCGGAGGTATAATTACATAATATCTTATTCAAAAGGAGAATTGTTTTATCATTTAAAACGAATTGGAAAAATGGAAGAATCATGGGCTAAATTTTATTGTGCTGAAATTATCTTGGCTTTAGAATATTTACATAATCAAAATATTATATATAGAGATTTAAAGCCAGAAAATATCTTATTAGATCAAGAAGGTCATATCAAAATAACAGATTTTGGTCTTTGTAAAGAAGATATTAAAGAAGGAGATTTCACTACTACTATTTGTGGTACATATGATTATATGGCTCCAGAAATATATTTAAAAAAAGTAATAAAACTCTATTTACTTATATTTATTAGGGTCATAATCAAAGTGCAGATTGGTATTCTTTAGGAATTCTCTTGTATGTTATGTTATAAGGCATTCCACCATTCTATTCTCAGAATAAAAGATAAATGATTCGTAGTAGATTAGAAAGACAAATTGAAATTAAAACTCCCATTTCAGAAGAAGCTACAGATCTTATTAAATAATTATTAAAGAATAATGTAATTATTTTATTATATATATATATAAGCCTAAAGATAGATTAGGATCAGATGGATCTAATGAAGTGAAATCACATCCATTTTTCAATGGTATTGATTGGAATGATCTTATGGATAAAAAGGTTGCACCTCCATTCAAACCTAAATTATTTGGAGACAGAGATCTCAGAAATTTTGACGTTGTATCAATTATTCAATTTATAAATTTATCATCTAGACATTCACATAAGAAGTTGTTTAAGATACTCCAATGTAATCTATGATTCAAGAAGACAATTATGATAAGTTTTCTTATCAAGAACCAGAATTATTTGTAACTATGAATGAAGGTTTCTCGCTTATTAAATGATAATAAATATTTATATTTCAATAACACATTATATTTATAATTATTTATATAATATTTAAATTAAAATAAAACATAATTAAAAAGAATTAACATAATATGATCAAAACATATTGTACATATATTAGACAATATAAATTATTATTTAATTTCTATCATATTGTTATATATTATATATTATATCAGGTATAAATCAAGAGGAAAATTAATGCACAAAGCGTCCCAAAAAGTATAAGAATTGTACAGATCTAACTTTAATCTAGAATTTAATATTTACAAATTTTTACCATTAGTTTTTAGTAAGTCTCCTAATTTTTTTTATACAAAATTCATCTTCTTTTAAGTTTTATCCATTTCTACATCTAATTGTTTAATTTTACTTAAAATAATAAAAAAAATGAGCATACTTTCCTTGATCATCAATTTCAACATTAATATTGATAGCAGCATGATGTAATCTATTTGCAATATCAGCTATTTCATTAAGATGATCATCTTGTTCATTCAAAATATGTTTGTGCTATTCCATTATAATAATAATAATATTAATAATTAAAATATAATTTGAATATTTTATTTTTTAATTCTTCATCTCTTTTACATAATTCTATTTAATAGACAATTTAAATATTTAAGTACATTTCTTTACTTGAATTTATAGATATCTAAATTGAATTATGAAATGTCTTTATATTGATATAAACATTATCACTATATTGATTAATTATTCATTTTATAAAATTCAAATTTTATGTACCATATTCCCAATTTGTTAATTTAGGCACAGAAAAACGACAATACTATCGAAGATTTTATTTCCATCCACTGCTAAATGGTGATCCTAATGATTATGGAAAATCTTTAAGATATGAAATCCTCTTCCAACTCTTATATTCCCATGTAGTCATATTCTTACAAGTTAATAAAGAATGGAATAAAAATAAACTGAGAACCATTAATGCCATAGATATTGATATAAATAGACTTATTATAACCTAAGCTAAAAAAAATCCTTTGTATTAAGAGAAATCAAGGTGTGGAAAAGCCTATTAATGATAATTTAAACTTACTTCTCTCATTACATATAGTATTTCTTAGATTTAGAAAAATAGAAACCAATAAAATACACATCTATTTCTTTCTCCAATACAATTACTTGTCTATTAAATAAATATTTATATTAATACCCATGGACAATGATGATCATATAATGCTATACATCTATTACATTATCTACAATGTTTAGAACGAATAATTTAATCTTGATTACATATTGGACAATATCTTTTTTCAATAAACATACTATTTCCATGATGTACACTTTAATCAATATTTTTATCATTATTTGCAGATTTAGGTGATTATTGATGTTCAACTTATTCAACATTGATTTCTTATTGATAATTAAATTGAGGTTCTGTTTGTGTATTAGGATTGTTATTATTATTTATATCAGGCTTAGTACTTCCTTAAGATAGTACTTAAGAAGTTCTGGCATTATTTTAATGTGGACTTTACATTTATGAAACCATCTTAGAAGGAGTTTTAGATTTCTCTGGAGTCTTTTCATAGGATTTAGCATTATTATCTATATTTTGAATTTCATTATCAGGGAAATTTTATTCATCAACTGATGCTTCACATTCCATTTCAAATTCATCTTTATTCCTATAATAAATTGATTTATTATACTTTGGTTTCTCTTTAGCTTATTCTACAACTTTTAAATCGATTTGTTCTTCTTGTATTTACTCTTTTGTTCTCTATTGAGAATTTCCTGGGAATTAATGAAATTATTATCGCTTTTTTTAATATGGATTCGAACTATCTGTATATTAATAATCACTTATCGTAACAAATCCTGGCTTATCATATCATTATTATTTACATCCTTGAATGCAGTAAAACCATAGAAAATTAAAGTAAACATTATCATCAAATACAAATAATAAGTACCCAATTTTGAACTTTCAAATAAACTATCATCTACAATGCTAAAAATGCTTAGCAAATAGATTTGCATAATTCCATAGAATATTGGTGCTCAAAGATTCAATTAAAATATACCTAATTTAACCATTAATCCACTTTATATTAATAATTAAAATAATAACCATTTTTATATTTCCTATTGTTAAATTAATTATATTAAATAAATTGATATTATAATATAAAAATAAATNTGTAGTCATATTCTTACAAGTTAATAAAGAATGGAATAAAAATAAACTGAGAACCATTAATGCCATAGATATTGATATAAATAGACTTATTATAACCTAAGCTAAAAAAAATCCTTTGTATTAAGAGAAATCAAGGTGTGGAAAAGCCTATTAATGATAATTTAAACTTACTTCTCTCATTACATATAGTATTTCTTAGATTTAGAAAAATAGAAACCAATAAAATACACATCTATTTCTTTCTCCAATACAATTACTTGTCTATTAAATAAATATTTATATTAATACCCATGGACAATGATGATCATATAATGCTATACATCTATTACATTATCTACAATGTTTAGAACGAATAATTTAATCTTGATTACATATTGGACAATATCTTTTTTCAATAAACATACTATTTCCATGATGTACACTTTAATCAATATTTTTATCATTATTTGCAGATTTAGGTGATTATTGATGTTCAACTTATTCAACATTGATTTCTTATTGATAATTAAATTGAGGTTCTGTTTGTGTATTAGGATTGTTATTATTATTTATATCAGGCTTAGTACTTCCTTAAGATAGTACTTAAGAAGTTCTGGCATTATTTTAATGTGGACTTTACATTTATGAAACCATCTTAGAAGGAGTTTTAGATTTCTCTGGAGTCTTTTCATAGGATTTAGCATTATTATCTATATTTTGAATTTCATTATCAGGGAAATTTTATTCATCAACTGATGCTTCACATTCCATTTCAAATTCATCTTTATTCCTATAATAAATTGATTTATTATACTTTGGTTTCTCTTTAGCTTATTCTACAACTTTTAAATCGATTTGTTCTTCTTGTATTTACTCTTTTGTTCTCTATTGAGAATTTCCTGGGAATTAATGAAATTATTATCGCTTTTTTTAATATGGATTCGAACTATCTGTATATTAATAATCACTTATCGTAACAAATCCTGGCTTATCATATCATTATTATTTACATCCTTGAATGCAGTAAAACCATAGAAAATTAAAGTAAACATTATCATCAAATACAAATAATAAGTACCCAATTTTGAACTTTCAAATAAACTATCATCTACAATGCTAAAAATGCTTAGCAAATAGATTTGCATAATTCCATAGAATATTGGTGCTCAAAGATTCAATTAAAATATACCTAATTTAACCATTAATCCACTTTATATTAATAATTAAAATAATAACCATTTTTATATTTCCTATTGTTAAATTAATTATATTAAATAAATTGATATTATAATATAAAAATAAATAAAAAAAAAGGGTTGTCAACACGAGGACTTCCCAAGCGGTCCCCCACCTTAGTACTAACCTCGCCTTAAGCCGCTTAACTTCGGAGTTCGAATGGGATCCGGTGCTTTAGGCTTAGTATGGCCGACAACGATATTTACATCTCATCTCAATATTTATACATACGAATTTTATATATATATATTATAAATTCATTTTTAATCCTTGAGTTAAGTCTCAGTTTTACATTTTTAATATTTATTTATATTAGCATGTATTTTAATATTTAATGTTGAGTCATTTATTGAATCATTCTATTAATGATTTATTGAATCTTTATGAGCAATAGCAATAGTAGTACTCTCTGGATGATTCAATTATTAAAACATTTCATTCACAGGTGCCAAATGGATTTTCATCATCAAATTCATTTATTCTATACTTTTTCTTAATTTTATATTATCCAATTTAACTTATTGTACAGACTTCAATATATTATGATATTTATTCATTTATTTATGTTAAAATTGTAAATCCTATTTTTTATAATAATAAATTATACTAGAAATCCAATTTTCTATTGAGATTTTAATAACTGATTCTCTTATTTTAATTCTTCTATTGTTTATTCCATCTATTTGATTTATTGTATAAGATAATAGACATAAGAAGTGTCTTATTATGCTTATTTTGGTTTATTTGCAAGTTATTTTGAAAAGGAAAGAGAAGTAGATAAATGATTTGGTGATCCATGCTATTCTAGTTATTTACGATGTGATTTGCTAGGAGATGGTTCTTATTTGAAGAAAGTGTTTTAGAAATGATGTACACTTTTATTTTAACTTAATAAGTAAGGTCTTTGATCACTCATATATTTTGTAAATAAATTTATTATATAATTATGCTTTCAATTTTTTTATGAAAAGCAGAAAAAAAAAAATACAAAAATTGTAAATTCAAAATTGATCCATATCCAACACCAAAAGGCTTGATTTAACTATTGGATCAATTTGGTTTTCTAGTAATTCATCAACACTTTCTATTGGTTCCTCATAATGGATGAGAACCAATGTTCGAAAACCTCTAAATTATTGCTTTGATGATTTTCTATGCGGGAACTTATTGCATCGATTGCCTGGATATTGTTCATTGGATTTACATTGATTTCGGAATGAAAAGTTTAAGTTTTTACATACACCACAGATCCAATCACCAACTCTTTGTTTTCTCTTAACTATGTAGGGAGAACTATTCATATATTTTATTATTTGAAATTCAAAAATTAATAACGATATATGAAATTAGAATTTTTTTATAATATATATTTTATTATATACCTTATAACATTCTTGAAAGTAATATATTTGAATTTGATGTAATTAATTATAATGAATTAATAATAATCTCAAAATTCAACTCCAAGAAGGCGTAATAATTCAGAGTTAAGTATTGAGGCCCTGCCAGTAGAACCTGAATCAATAAATTATTTATAAATAGCTTATAGCTGGTTAACTACAGTAATAATTATTATATTTAGGCTCTCTTGATTGTGATTTTGTTTAATTGTTTTTTGACATTGTTACTTTCATCGTTCACATTTAATTTAAGTCTTAGGATACCAATTCTATTTTTAAGTATTGGACATCTCTTATATTTGATAAAATTTTGCATTGCTTATCATAAGATGTATAACAAAATAGTTTAATAGACAGAGGAAAAGGTAATCCAGAATGTTGTTTTGAATTGATGTGGGGTGTTGGATTAATATCTTATTATGTATGTTTGATAAATATGATCAGAGTTGCTTGATTTATTTTGTTGATAATAATTAGTTTTAAATGCAATACTTATCGATGTTTTTAACACTTTATACAATCATATGGTTGATGCAATCTATAATTTAATTATATAGAAATAAAGATTATGATCATCAACAGAAATTGGTATTATAATAAATAATAAAGATAGATTGTAGTATTAATTAGATTTTGTTTTGTCACTTAATTAATGTTCATAAATATGAAATTGATAGATTGGTTATCAATTAGATGGATATACACATTTTCAATATTTTGGTTATTCATATTTATTGTAGTACTTTTGATATTATTTTCTCTATTTAAATTGTCAATCATAATAAATCAATATTTCAATAGTAATATTGATTAAAGATAATTATTGATGATTAAAATTATTGGTATGATTTGGATCAATTTATTTCTTTTTGGTTTTTGTGGTATACCTGCATATACACTATTTAAAATTAGTATTTCATTAGATTAAAATGTGGAACATTATTACATTCTTTCAATATTAACAAGTGTATTTTATACTCTAGTTTTTATGATATATACTTTATATCGAAAAGATATATTATCAACTTTTATATTGAATCTATTATAAACATAAACTCAACAACATATTGAAAGAGAAATGGAAATCATCAGTTTTCCTAGTTCAAGAAATTAAAAGAAGTTTGTTCATTATTTTAGGGATAACATTTTAAATGATTTTCCTAAATAACTAATTAAGATCTCAAGTACTTACTTTCTACCAGAAGATTAAAAAAACTAAACTGAAATAAACTCAGCTGGTGGTGTTTTTAATAAATCTCCAACTCTAACAGAAGTAGTTTAACATGATAGTACAATGAAATAATGTTTTAATTGTTTTTAATAATAAAGTTGTACAGTTTATATTCCATGTGGTCATGGAGGTGTATGTTCAAAATGTGCTTTTGATTGGTTCTAATAAAGAAAAGAATGTTTGATATGTAGAAGTGTAAGATTATTTATTTGATAATTAATTAGTAAATATAGGCTATCTTGAAAATCGTATAGGGAGAAAATCAAAGAGTCAAAGTTGTGGATATAATTGCATTAAATTGATTTGTTACTCAATAATTAATTTTATGAAAAATACTCATTCTTAATAAACGTACTAAATATTGAAAAAAGAATCTGATTTATTATAACAATAATGAATTTGGAAAACATATCTGCATTTCTTACAATAATGAATAGATAGATCTAAATAGACTGATTTAAATGAATACCTATTGTAAAATGTTTTGATTCTTATTCCCAAAATCTATTCAAAATAGAAATAAGGGTAATATTATGAAATATTATTAATTACATTCTGTCTCTTTAAGAAATAAGTATTAATCAATAAGAAAACACCTAAAATAGTTATAAATTAGATTCCTTATACAAAGATAATTGTAGTAATAATATTGGATTCTTTTCTAGAGATTATAATAACTTAAAGGATTATTGATATATAATAATAATATATAAATGTATTACAAATGTCATAGATAAATATTTTGATCAATTAATTTTATATAATATAGTATTATTAACCATAAACAGAGTTACTACTTTAGTATGAAATAATGTTTGGAAAATGAATGAATTAAAATTAGTTTACAAAGTTTATTGTCTATAATTTAATAATTGATAATAAAATTGAAAAGAATAGACATAATTTACATAATCATATATCTATATTATGGGAATCAGAAACTAATAAGTTTTATATTTAGTAAAATAAATTAATAAAATAAATAAATGGAAATTATTGATTAAGAGTCGCGCATACTTAGTTAGAGAATACTAAATGAATTTCATTTAAATGAAATAAGAAATAATTTCATTAGTATTCTAGGAATCAATAAAACTCATTTTGGGTAATACCTCTAAAAATTATCTCAAGAATCACTGATTTCACCAATCTAATACACAGATTAGCAGAAAATAATCAGGTCTCATAATTTACTATCCAAGAATGCTTTAACATTTTCGATGAAAACAAAGATGGAAAACTTGATTGGAATGAATATTTAAAGTTGTTTGTAGAATACTTAAAAAAAGTATAATGTCTAACATACTTGAAATCATAGTCTTCCCTTGAAGAATAGAGTTAGTAATGGATTACAATTAATTTCTAGATATCTCCAATAATTATAAATAGCCTTTTTAGCATCTCCATTCAAATAATTGTTTACAACCTAAAATTTATAATCAGTTGAATAAATTTTAGCATCTTTTGAAAATAGATCATCAAATAAATAAATTAAAAAATATTATTTCATTTGCAGAGATTCTTTTGAACCTTCATTAAATTAACTTCATTAAGATATTATACTATTTTAAGACTTTAATATTTTACCAGCATAAATTATTTAAGTTCTCAAAAGTTTATTATTATAAAGATTACCCCACGTAAAAATTAATAAAATAGATTATGCCAATTAAATGATTATTTAAATAATAAATAATGGATATTGCAATCATTTATTCAAATTACTTTTGGTTGATGATGAAAAAGAATAAGGTCAAAGTATTACAGATGAAAAAGATTAAAATTAAATTCTAGGAATGCAAGCACTTACATTAATTGCAGCTACTATTCATATCTATGATATTCAAATACTAATACCAATTTAAAGTAATTTATTAGTAGATACAATATTAAATATCATCTCTGAAACATAAAATGATCTCATTATTGAATAAGGATATTTATTACTTGGACATCTAATATTATATGATAAATCATTTCAATAAATATTATTTACTAAAAGATAAGCATTATTAGATATTTAATAAATTGATGATGAAAAGATATTCTATCATAGTTGGTTTATTGGTTGTCTATTCTCTAGATATGAAAGTCATTAAGCAAGTAAATTTATGACTTAAATGAATAAATTACCAGATAATTTACTTTGGTTATAAAGTATTATTGCTTATTATTAATAATATGGATTAATTTAATCTATAGAAAAAAACTAAATTAGAATACAAATTTAAATTAATATGCTTATTATTATTTAACCATTATTGGCTACATAAATACATTAAGATGTACTTATAGCTTTATTATAATAATTACAAAATTAAGCTACAGATAATAGATTTAAATTATAAATTTTAAGTACATTAAAAAAGATATTTAAATTACCTTATCAATTAAATTATTAAAATTTTACAGCATAAAATATTCTTCTATCAAATAATCTATTGAATATTTTAATGTAACTTATTACAGATCCTAATTCATAAATTAGTTATTAAGCAAAAAAATTATTTTTTAAAACTCTATGTCTTGAAAATTCTGGAATACTCTTAAAATATTTATAAGAATCTAATAATTTATAATCATTCCTTTATGTTCTTGAAAGTCAATTCGTTTAAAATGTAGATGCTAACTTTTAAAAGTACTTTAAATATAAAATTCTTACTATCTTAAGATTAATGAGTCAAGATAGTAATACCTTTTAAATTCTATCCACTGATCAATGGCTTTTCAAATTACTCATTAAAGCACTTAATGATAATAATTAAGTCTTTACTTCAAATAATTAAATAATGATTAATTGTCAATATGATTATCTTGTTATTAATGAAATTACTGAATATTGCATCACCTTTAATCTACATTTTTAACCAATGTTGAGATAAAAACCATAATTATCATATTAAGCTTTAGAAACTATCTATTAAATACTTCCAAATTAATAAGCTATTAATGAAATTAAATAATATTTTGTTAAACTTTTAGAGAATATAGATAAATATTAACCATTAATATTAAAAAAATACTTGAAACCTCTCTATTAATCAGTTTGTGAGATAGTTACTTAACTAACTCATTTGATATTATCATTAAATGATCTTATTAAAAATAATCAAGTGTTTCATAATAATTTTGCCTCTTTCTTACAATATTTAATAAATGATCTTGCTATGTTTTAAGAATATTTAACAAGTAAAAAAGAATTAATTGATGATACTTTATTAATTATTGGCACTGAAGCTACTTATGATGGTTGTGTTGTAACCACAATTTATTTAAATACATATTAAAATTCCTCTAGATGCAAGATAGTTTTAAAACCATAGCTTACCCTATTAGAATTTGAAAAACATGTTGAATAAGGTTTATAAACATCTGGTCCTCTATTATATTTAGTAATTAATTAGAATCATCCAAATAAAATACCATATGATGATTTTTCAATCATAGATGAAGTATGTTTTAGGAAATTCAAAGAACTTGCAGATTAATTTATAGAAACATAATTTGGAAGTGTCAAAGTTTCTTAAGAAGTAATAGCTGTTGAACTCTTTAGATTAAAGATGGAAGATTATTCAATGAAGAAAATATATGAAATCTTAAATAAAGGTTCATCATATATTTAATTCAAATAAATTCAAGACAATTAGATGTTATGGTTTTTGGAGAATAATTCAGGTATTTATTATTTGTAAATATTCAATAGATACCAAAGACAAAGGTTAATAATTGTAATAAATATTTTAATTGACTAAACTACCATATACATATATAGAGAATCTTTTCGATGTATTTTTAATACTATTATAATACCTAGTCAATTAATCAATTCTTTGATAAAAATAATCTATAATAATAATATAGATAAATACAACAAGATACTTTTAAAGATTATTTATAAGATATGAAAATCCCACCTTTATTAGGTGATAAAATTGCCACTTTCTTAGCAAGAAATGGACTCAAAAATCCAATTGATTTCTAAGATTTTATTTGTTTTGTTTCTATATTTTATTAATAAAGGTAATTTATTTAATCTATTAAATATTTAAGTTTTAGTGAAACTATTATAATGAAGTTTACTTATCTTTTGTATGCAAATAAAGAAGGAAAGTTTGGAAAAGACTAATTATGTGAATATTTGTAAACAATATTTGTAATTACTAAATTTTACTTTAGGATATTTAAAACTAAATAATTTATGAATAATAAATTAATGAATGGGGATCAAATTTATTTGTTAAAATTGATTAAAATTAAGATGGTCATATATCATTTTATGAATACCATGCTTTATTAAAAGAAGAATAATATCGTGCTAAGCTCTTAGATCCAATCTGTGCACTATTTACAAATTTGCCATTTCAAAATACAACCAATCGTTTCTTTTTTGGAACACCTTAAAAATTATTTAGAAGTTGAAATATAATAAGAAATTCTGATAAATATATATTTTTCATTTAAATTAACAAATCATCATTATTCTCAATATTTATAGACAAACTAAAAGGGGATATATAATAAATCACAATATTTTATAATCAATACATAGACAGATAATAAAAATTTATATAAAAATATTTTATTTTAATAAATATTTCAGATATTTCAAATCAACATCTAGTTTGATAAAATGCTTTATTCAACTTTCCATTAAACTCAACTATTTCCTAGAATCCCATTTTCTCCTCTTTCTTTTTCTACTTCTCCTATAATTAAACTAATTTTCATATCTATTCAATATCTAAAAATAATTTCAGACTAATTTATTTATCTAATAGCATATTTTATAACATTTTAATCTATCGAATCATACATAGATACTTTTTCTGTTTAAACTGTGCCAAAATAATTCACTTTAAATTACATTCTATTATTACATATATTAAAATTTAATACAATCTGCTATTAAAGAAATTTAATCTAAACAGTCTTCTTACTTTATCAATCTACTCAACTATTATTAATATTATGGAAAAATTGAAAAAGATTAAAAAAATCATTAGTCTTAAAGCATATTTTATAAAGCTTCTGTTACTGGATAAAAGACAAAGTATAATAAAGGTAATCTACTTGATAGTTTAGAAATAGCCTTTGAAGCATCAGATCACTAGCTTAATTAATAAATTAGTTTCACTTGATCTCGAATACCATTATCCTGTACAATTCATAATTATATTAAAATCAACTCAATAATATAAACTCATTAAAAGTAGCTAAAAATTTAAATTTTTTCAAATCCTTTATAAATAAAATGAAATAAAATTCCCAAAAAACTAGAACCTATTAAAAAATTTCAAACATTAAAAAAAAGACTCTTATGAATATGGTATTCCTAAAGGGATTTAAAATAAAACATGTAATTTCTACTCTCATCTATATCGTTAGGCAGCAAAGCAATTAAATATCAAATATGCAGCAGCCAAAACCATCATAGTATGTCATAGAGACAATGTTATTAAACAAAAACTTGAGTTTAAATCTTCGTCAGAATGCAAGATAGCTTCTGTAAATTAAAAAAAGTGCAAGATTACCATTATTACAAGGGTTGGAGGAGATGCTGTCTCTTAAATCTCATTTGAATATTCTTAGATTGAAGAAGTTTGAGATTCATATAATAAATATTATATATTACTATCTTGAGATGTAAGACTAATTCAATGGAAATTTCTTCAACATTTCAGAATATGTTAAATGAAAAAAAAGAATATTTGGATTAATCTCATGTTTATTTGATATAATTTACATCGAGATGAACTTTTTAAGATCTCAAATTCAATGATTATCTATATTCATAACATTATAAAATTTATTGAAAATACACATATTTTATTAAATTTCATTTATCATTATTTTTGAAAAATATTATTCAATAGAAAATTAATTTTATTTATATAAAACAGGCAAGAAACATGAATATAAATAAAGTTAATGATTGAAATACCTCAACATAAATCTATGCTTATTATTCATTTATAATTTTAACAGTAATAATTACTAATTTTAAATTCATCATATAAATCACTTAAAGATGAATGTATTTTCTGATTTCATTAGAATTTTCAAATTTTGTTCTATTATAATTGATAATACATAATATATTGAATAAAAAAACAATAGTATTTTTAAAATAAAAATCTAATACTTCAAATTATTTGTTTAAAATAAAGTTTTCATTATGATAAATTATTACAAATCATTTTAGATTAAAATTTGTAAATAAGTTATATAATTAATTCCATAAAGTTTAATTCAATTAATTATTTGTTATCAAATTTTATATTTATTATTTGATTATTATAATTAATTATAAATATTTAATTGTTCAGGCTTTCAAATTTTATTTTATTATAAAAAGAGGACCACCTTAATTATTCAAAAAAATGAACTATGAATGGAAAATTATATATATAATATACAATAAAAATTCTTGAAAAAGTAATTGACAATATAATAAGATTAAATATTCATTAATTTTCCTAATCTTTGATAACATCTAATAATAATTTAGTAATTTATTCTTCAATATAAGAATATTTTTCTAGATTCTTATCAAATTAAAGTCTATATTAATAATACATAAATGAACAAACATAATAGCCACATGCATAACCATTTTATTATTAAATATAATAATAAAGTCTTTTTTATTTGTAATTTTATAATTATAATAATTATGCTAATGTTTCAATTAAATTCTGATCAAATTTAAAAGATTATGATAGAGAATCAAAAAGTTCTACACAATTTTTTTTATAATCAAATAATAGGAATTGCCAGTGTATATTATTTTTATTTATTGGAATTCCTATTTTATCATAGATTAAATTTAATTAAAAATCCATTTCTTAATATTCTAGTAATTCTTATTAAAATAATTGTTAAGCTTTTTAAATATCATATTAAATTCCAAAATTTGTGGTTAAACTAGTGGGTAAAAATAATATTCTGTTAATTTATTTTGTATCATTATTTTCTTTTTGTTTAATGTATTCTTTTTCACCTTCTAAATTAAGATGAAATACAAAACTATCTATTATACTACTAGTTAACCATTATTTATTTTTTAATATTTATTCATCTCTCTCATTTAAAGATTAATTATATTTACACCAAATTTTTAATTTTTAGAATTATCTTCTATGTTCGCCAATTTGTCTATTATTAACAATTATTCCATCTTCTTTTATAATAATTTTTTTTCTAGAAGGTAAACTTTAAGATCTTAATTCTTAGTGTTTAGTTTTATTTGTCTCATCTTATGGTTTTTGTGTATTCTCATGAAGTAATATATTTGATTTCCCTAAATATTCCTTGTCTTTCTTAATTAACTTAATTAATTTTTGTTCTAAATCAAAACTAAATGTTCCCTCCTAAATATTATATTTTGGGTTTGAATTTTTATCAAGTTAAGTAGAATATAGTTTGCCTTAAATTTCATTTTTCAATTCCTTAATACTTTTTGATTAAAAATTAAATATTTTATTATACTTTTTACTTTAAACTTCAATTTTAGAATCCTTAAAACTTTCTGATTTACAATAAAATAACTTATTCTCCATCAAAATAACTAGATCATACTATAATTGTTTAAATGTATAATAGATTATTTTTTATTTTTAACAAGTTATAATAAAATAATTTAATTTAGATGATCCAGGTTAACTATCTACATTTTTTTTTTGGATTTATATTTAATTATCACCTTTTTTATTTTCTACATAATTAGAAAATTAGAATGCTTTTTCTTTATGATTTACTTCGATTCCTTATATAAATTATTATTTAGATTTAAATCCATATTATTAAAAGTGAATAGAATTACAATTTTTATTACCCTATTCATCTGAATCAATTTCATTCATTTTACTAAACTGATCATTTCTATCTTATACATAAGAAGGAATCTAAATCAATTTCTCTTTCTAATTTTTCATTGATAATAATATAAATTAAAAATAATTCAATAAATTTAAAAACTATCTATATTATTTGATTTAGAGTTACCTAAGAGCTTTAGATATTAGACTTCTTCCAAGCATGCTCCTTTATAAGTGTCAAAGAATAATCTTATTAATATATTAAATAAATCTTGAAAGAAACACTATTTACAAAATATCTAAATGATTGAAATTTTTTAAAGTCTTTTTTAATACTATAAACTTTTTGTAGAGTATATGGTTGATAATTTTATATGTTTAACTAAAGTAAAATCAAATATGATAAATAATGTTAGAACTACAAATTATTTATGGTTTTGTATTAAAGATTCTGTATTTATGGTATATTTAATGAATTTAATGCATAAAAATATTATAATAAGCCTTGATTAGAAATTTCCATGTTCTTATAGAAGATTTAAAAATATAAATAAATACTATCTCTTATATTATCATAGTTTATAAAACAATTATATAATAGATATTATATAATATAAATTGATTAAGCAATAAAGTTGCAATTTCTATTTATTTAAATGATCATTTTAATTAAAGATTTTTTGATTATTTAAAAAAAATAAATTCTACATTTTTCTAAAAATAATAAATATATGAAAATAATAATATTAATAAGTTTAACAATAAGAATGATAGGATTTAAAAATATAAAAAATTATTTAATAATTACATAATTATAAATTTCAATCATCTTCATCATTGCCACAGCATGCAATTACACATTTTTTCTTTTTGATTTCATCTTATTCAATTATTTCTTGTTAACCAGCAAAATACATGAATACAGATTCTAATGTAGCTTAATTTAATTAAAAATCTTTAATGTATTTATATTAATTTTAGATAATTTCTAAAAAGAAGCTAAATGAGTTAAAGAATGAAAATCCTTATTTTTATAATTGAACTACAACTTTATAGTTATTCTCCTCTAAGATATCACAATTAGGATATTCTTATTTAACTAATTTAATCACTTATTAACTTTATACATTTTCTTCTAATTCTAAGCTTACTCTATATCCATCACCAAATTTTTATTTTAAGTGTTAAGGTGTTCCAATACATGAAAATTGTCCATTAATTTAAATAGCAATTTTAGAACATAAATTTTCAGCTTCATCCATGGTGTGAGTTGTCAAAATAACAGCACCATTTCTTAATTTAACTCCATTTTAAATAGCATTCCAAAGAAATCTCCTTGCAATAGGATCAACACCAGAGGAAGGTTCATCAAAGAATTACATATTAGTACCACCCATTAATGCTAATGCCACACATAATTTTCTTTTATTTCCTCCACTCAATTTATCTGAATGAACATTCTCATATGCATCTAATTACATAACTTTCATAAAGTATTCAACTGATTAAATAGCTTCAATTCCATTCAAACCCTTTAAATATGCCCAAATAAATAGATGTTATTTAACAGTGATCATTTCAAATAAGCTGTCAAATTATGGACAGATTCCTACATTTTAAAAGAGTTCTCCTTTACCTTTTTCAATCAATTAGCCCATTAATTTAATTTCTCCAGTAGTTGGTTTGAGTCTACAAGTTATCATATTAAAAGTAGTTGACTTACCTGCTCCATTAGGACCTAACAATCCAAATATTTAACCTGATTCCACTCCAAATGATGTACCTTTCAATGCTTAGAAACCATTTGCATATACTTTTGAGATCCTTCTAGCAATAACTCTATCTTAACAGGATTCACTTTAAACTCTTTTAGCTTCCTAAATAACATCTCCATCTTTAGATTCAACAATAATTGGTTATTGATTTACAGATAATAATTTTCTATGATCTATGAGAATTGCTAATATTAAATAAAGTAATGTTTGAAATATTAGTATACAAACAAACACCCAAGGTTATTCAATAAAAAAATTAGGAACTTCAATAATTGATGGATTATAATTTAGATCTAAGACTGCTGTTAATCCTGATAATAATGAAACACTTGGAAATAGGAAACATAGTATCCATTTAATAAATTTTTCTTTGATTACAAAGTAACAAATCATACCTGGCATATAAAATATAAAAACCATCAATAACATCATATATTTCAAAGAGGATAGAAATTCTGTAAATAACCATGATAATAAATATGATAAGGCTACATATGTTATAAAACAAAAGAAAAATAATGCATATACAACAAAGTAATTAAGTTATTCTACTTATAATAAAAGTGTTGTTATTGAATAAACTGCAAATAAAATTGTAACTACACAACTATCAAATGCAAAATTTGATATCCAATAAGGTTCAATTCTACATCCCATTACATTAAGAGCATATTTTTATTTTTATTATCTTTCTTAAACTGGTACACTACCTATACTAGTACTAGATATACTCATAGCCATTATAAGTTCAATAAAAGCACATAGATAAATAGTAAATGATATTATATATTCTCTTAAATAATATGATTTAAGATCATCATTATCATCAATTGGTTTAATAGTACTTGAAGTAAGACTACCTAATAATGGACCAAGAAAACAAAAAAGTGATGAAAAAAAGAGTTATACAGCTAATCTTTTACCTTTCATTCCATATAATTTTCTTAGAAAACAGGCTTTGAATTGTAAAGTGAATGAATAAGTAGGATCATTTCCAAGACAATTAGGAGGAATGATCTTAGCAAATTCATCATTAAGATTTATATCTTAATCAGATTGATTATTACTTAAAACAGTAATATTATTTTAAGCTTTTTTTAAAAATGCTTCTTCATCCATACCAATATTAATAAAAGCTTCTTCTAAAGTGTTCATCAATAAATTAATTTAAATAGATTAATCATTTTCTAATATTTCAAATATATTTAATAAACTTGATTTACTATCAAATGGAACTGAAAAACTAATACATAAATTAGCTGTTTAAGGTTCTATACGTGCATCTTTAATTTAATTCATAATTAATGACTTAATTTTTTCAACTTTATCTTCCCAAATTTCTAAAGAATTTTTTAAATTATAAATATTTAAATGATATCCAATACCAAAATTCTTCTTAACAAAATCAACACTTCCAACAGTCAACAATTTACCTTTAGCCATTATAGCAATTCTTTCAGATAATACTTCAGCTTCATCCAAATGATGTGTTGTTAATATTAAACATTTACCTTCATTTTTCATCTATAATAAAATATTCCATATTTTCCTTCTTGTAACTGGATCCATTCCTGAAGTAGGTTCATCCAAAAATATTACTTTAGATCCACCAATTAATGCCATAGCCAAACACAATTTTCTTTTATTTCCTCCTGACAATTAATTTGCCTATTTAGTTTTCTCTTATGTTAATGCACACTTTTCTATAACTTCTTCAATTTAATTCTCCAAATTTTAACCATCTAATCCTTTAATTTTTCCATAATACATTAAATGTTCAATTACTGTCATTTTATTATATAAAACATCCTTCTATGGACAAATTCCTAAAAAACTTCTAATACCATCTAAATCATCATCAGTTGAAATTCCATAATATTTTATTTATCCATAATCTTTTTTAATTAGACCTGTCAATAAAGAAATTGCTGTTGTTTTGCCTGCTCCATTATGTCCTAATAAACAAAGAATTTAAGATTCATATATGGATAAAGTTAATCCATCAACTGCCTTTGTTTCACCAAAATATCTTTTTAAATCCTCTATTTAAACTGCTTTTTACTAATTATATAGAGTTATTAATTACTATTTTATTTTTCATTTGTTCATGAAATATAGCAGAACTCTCATCTTATCCATCTTATAGATCTTCATTTAATGGTTCAACATAATAATTTTAAACTTGATTTTTCTTCTTCTTCTTTTAATTTTCATACTTTACTCCTAAAAAAAACAATGGATGTTTATTTGTTCCATATTCATTAGGTACAACTTAATCTAGATATTAAGCTAATAATCCATAGAATATTATATCAAATAGAAGTACTCCAAAATACTCTTTTTTTCCAAAATCAAATTCAACAACACCAGTAATTGATACATATGGATATACATTGTAACAAAATGAAGGAATCAAACTCAATATATATACTACATATGAATGTCTAATATATAAATCAATTCATACTTTTATATATATTCTATGGTTAATAGTTAACTCCCAATTGAACCAAATACATTTATTACTACTGCTAAATCTGCTCCTGTTTTAGGAGTCTCAAAGATAGCAGCAATCAAATAACACAATTATAATTGAGCCAAACCATACATTCCAAAACTTATAATAGTTTCACTCATCGTCAAAGAGTTTTTATTAATCTCATTAGTTTTCATTACACCTGTAGGTACAACCAATATCAGAAAAAAAAATGATACTGCAAATAATCTAACATAATTTGTTAAGATCCATCCAAATGAATATGAATTAGGTTTCAAACCCATAATCTACATAATTACATATATATACTTTTTATGTTTCTTTTTATCTCTCCGATTTTTCACTTATCATTGCAGTTATCACATTTCTTGTTAATAATAACAAACTCATTGGTAAAAATTAAGCACTACTTTATGAAACAGCAATATCACTACTAGATTCTTTTTATCCTACAATATAATACTTGCTAT